ATTGCAAAGGTTATGCATAACCTGCACTCGTGTTAACTATGTGTCCAGTAACTCTAGTGCAAGAAACATACCTCTGTGATGGCCGCGACAATAGCGCCCGCATTGCCTTCTGTGGATTCAAGTTCGCTGACCAATTGCTCTGCACGTTCCTGGTTGGTATTGATTTGCGACACGAGGTCGTCTTTGTTATACCCAACAGGGGGCGTTTGCATAGGATTTTCACCTAACAAGCGCTCAATGCTGGACTCAGGGATCAATTTATGTGAGGCACAGGCGAATAGGAATTCCGGTCGCACCTCGGACAGGACGGTACTGCCTTGCATTGCGAACATCTGAGAGAAAGATGGGAACGTATTTGGGTCCAGACGGCTCAGAGCGTGGCTGATGCACATTTCCATCGGCAGTGAGACCATTGATGCTGCCAACATGGCTGCGAAAAATGATGGAAGCTTGTTTACCAAGAATGAACGGAACAAGAACATTGTTCGACTAGATTCGTTGCGATACAAAGCGTTCGACAGAACATCAAATGTAGCAGTTATAACCTCTTCAACCAGCACGTCATAGTGTCCCTATTGATGTTAGATACATTGAACTAGAAAAAAGTCAAGGCAATAGCGCATTCCATCACTTACCCCATATCGATTAGTGAGATAGTTGAGTAACATGCTGTCGTCCACCAAAGGACGGCCCACAAGCTAGTGAGTCAGCATTGGAAGCAAACAATGATGCTTGTGATTGGAAATACCATTGCATTTATATATATGTAGAGACCAGCTCTCGAATTTATGACAGGCCCATCCATAACAGATGCCTCGAATTGAAGCGCATTCACATTCACATTGTCCATCATAGACTGCAATGACTTGTTTGGCGGCTCCCCATACAGATTGAATCCTTTCTGTAAGCTGTCCAATCTATTGCGAAGCGGAAGCGAAACTTCCATACAAAGCGGAAGATATGCTGAAAGAGCCTGTCCCAATTTGACCTTTAGCGCTACTAGACGTCAGCACATACGCTCACATGCACCTTGAACAACAAAAGAAGACTTGGGCTACCTTCGTGGGAGTCGCTAGAAAGGACCTCAATCCCCTTTCCAGTCCCGGACAGAGCTGTAAGGAGGATTCCTAGCGACTCGAACAACGACACCGCATCAGGGGAGCTCATCAACCCGCCTGTCTGTTGACTGGGGTCTATATGATGATTATGCCAGGCTACGACTGCCTGAATCCAGTCTATAATAGCTGAAAAAATGCCGACAGCTTCGGCAAGTGACTTTGGAGTGCTTCCAGTGGAGACGGAGAGCATAGCATCTTGTATAACTCTGATATCCGTCATCAAGGTATAGCACTTTAGAGCCTTCCTGTTCTGACCAGTTTCAGAGCCAGGAGACTGTGGCTTGTCATGTATAGATGAGTACTTCAAAAGTGAAGTCAGTATTGTAGAGATCTGGACCTTGCTCATTTTGCAGAGACAGTCTATGTAAAGGGGGAGAAGCGGATCCCATTTGATTCCGGTTGCCAGACGTATTTCCAGCAATACGTCAAGGAGAGTACGCTCGGCGATAGGGCATCTCCGAAATAGTATTTTCGATAGAGTTTTGAACTCGGTGGCATCTATCCGACGCATGAGACATTGATGGAGGAATGCCCCCCATTGTTCGGAGGACGTCATGTTCCCGATAATTTTTTGTCTTCCCTTGCAGACCTCAGGCGGATCATATCAGATACACAGAATCGCCTGTTTAATGAATATATCCACCTCCACAGTCCTGGTGCCAATGCTTAAGCATTTTGCTCAGGTCGCATACTGAAGCTTCAAGCATCAACAAAACACGAGCATTGTTTGGAGACGTCAAAGGCGTGAGCCACGTGATTTTATGTAATCAATCACATGACTACTTTCTTGTTACGGTAAAGCGCGCTGTAGAGACTTCAAACAGCCACAAGAATGATTTTAGACCCTTGATATCATACTGTCGAGTACAAGTCGGGCTCGCAAAGTATTTGCTCTATGGATCACCGCCTGGTGCAAGCATTGTCTCGCAGTAGTTGAAGCCCATCACCCCACAGTAGACAAAGCCAATTGCAGGTTTTTGCCTCTGCTGCCATTGTCTCCTGGCAATCTAGATTCTAGATAGGCCTATGGAGCACTAAGTTATTATTTTGGTACTATATCTCGGTAGTAAAAAAAACACAAAAAAAATTACATTGACACAACTTCAATACAGCCTTACGAAGCGAAAAACAAACCTCCACAAAGCATCCAACTTCACCATCGGAACCAATTCAGCGCCCCTCTTAGGTAAAGCAACATAGCCGATATCCGTTTCACCGGAACCCCACGTAGAGACCTCGCCTTAATGCCGAGATCGCACACCTGGTTCATACCAAAATCACAACAGCCGACTGAGAAATCGTTCAAACCATGGAAAAAACTACAACGGTTTGGCTCGAAAAAGTAATTGTCGGACGGTATACCGCTTGCTCCTCTTGGAGGAGCTGAAGAAGACAGTGGAACGTCCTAAAATAGCCATAACGAAGGAAAGCCCGGGTACGAAACTGCGGTCTTCAGAACTAAAAAAGGCAAGTAGATCTTGCTGTCCACAGTGTATCTGTCTCATTTCCTTGTCGATCTCTCCACCCGATAAACGAACGATCTTCAGGTTGTGGAACGTAATGAAAATTTCCTGTAGTTGCCGATAGGGGTTTGCGGTTTCGCAAGTGGGTGAATGTTTTGCAACGGAGGTACTGTAAAAGGGCTTCTTTTGGTAGCGAAATAGGGCCATTATCCTAAGGCAAAAACAAGGCCGATATGCCGAGGACTCTGTATCCAATTATGTCCGAATCGGCAATGTATGGATTATGCACTCCAGATGTCTCATGAACGGTTGGTGGTTTAAATTGGAGACAAGATTAGTATTCAAAGCAAAGTATAGTCCTAAGGTCGGTCGCCCAGAATATGTGTCAGGTATAGGCACCATGAATATAAGGGTATATCACGGGTATTACGTCGGGTTCTCGGACGATAAAAACACACTATGTATTTACCATACCCTCTAAAATAACGCTTAATGGTGCACCTGATTATCCTGCAGTAGCATATAAATTTCTCATGGCTTTATCTCACATATAAACCAAAACTTTAAGGTTCTTCGCGTATTACTGCCATGTTGGAATAAAGTAGACGTTGGGCCAACTGATAGATCAGTCAGTTGACGCGCAACGAAAATTAATTCTCCGAACCATGCGACTCATATGTAAGTATCTTATGTACTCCATAATTATGTACGGAGTATCCATCTCAGGGCTCCGTTTGTGGAGTGGTTACCTGTCGGAATTGATCAACGCTGGCCAATTAGGGCTAGGGGTAATCTGTAGTACTACTAGTACTATATCCAGAATAATACAGATCGCTCTGAACAAACTACGTTGAGTACTTGCAAGCCCCGACGTCGTATCCCGGGGCTACAGCATGCTTCACTTACAGTGGTCTGATACATAGCTAGAGGAGAAAAAGAGGAGTAGAAGGAAAAGGGGGCTCTAGTACGAATCAAACCAACTCGAGTAGAGTGAAGTTATCGGAGACTTGCCGTATGATCTGAATTATTGGTCGATCTAAGTAGGAGTGATCAAACACCCGTGACGAATCACAGCCCAGGACTGGCACTCATCAAAGCTAGTACCCGATACAGGTAGTGGTGCTAGTACGTAGGTAAAAGGTGTGTTCTATATATACTTAGTACTCCAGACTTTATGATGTAAAGAAGGATCTGGATCTTTGGAAAGCGATGCAAGGCCGGGTCCGAAAATATACCGCTCCCATAACGCAGGGAAGCCAACAACAGCTTAGGATTGCAAAGTCTGACTCGTTAGAATCGACCCAACGGGCCAGCTCAATTCACATCGAAAAGTCCTTGACTGACCATGTGGGTCAAGTGGGGAGGCACAGTCACTCCGTATTTGTAATCGGGACTTCATCATATCGAGTGACAAAGTCTCAAAAATTAAATAGCTTTGTCCAATGTACAGTATACGAGTACTAGGACTAACCATGTCGCACTGGAGAGAGTACACCCGAAGTGCCTCCTGAGATAGGGGTGCTAACTACTAGGCCCCTGAAAAAGGAAGCGATCCATAGCCGCATTAACGATCAAATCCCGGGTACCTGGAGATAGGCTCCCGACTAAGCTAGGCGTTTGGAATCCCTCCCGTGAGCCCCGACCACGAACGCTCAATGGCCCGTAGACTAATTGTTAGACTCCGCCATTCAGCCCGCCACAAACACATCCTGGTCACCGTCGAACTCTCCAGAAAACAGGGTCGAGAAAGATTGAGGTCTTTTTGATCTTTGAAAGGAATACCCGTGAGCCAGCAATTCAACCCTATGTCACATACACACATTTACACCCCCGAACGCAGTACGCGGGACTCGACCACATTGCATCCCATGTTTTCCAACCCTAATGATTATGTGAGCTTGAAACACGATCGAATTAATGTCTTCCCCACCAGAAACCAAGGAATTGAACAAGTCGGCGGAGTCTTAACCTGCCACTTATGGCCAGCACAAACTAGTGGGGCCTCATCAACAAACTTTAACCCACCGCCGTGTAGTTAATGGATGGTTAAGTTGTACACGGCCTTTCCCTTTTTGAGTTCTACCCAACTTCTTCTATCCAGGGGGACTTCCACTCGGTGCATTTCCCGCAACCAGTGCATGCCACATAATGGTCCAGGACCAGGTAGTCGGAATTCACCCCAAAGCGGAACGAGACCGTCCTAGCGGCGAGTCCACGTCCCCTGGCGTAATTCAGGGGCATTCGGACATTACCATTAGAATAGAAAAGTATCCCATTTCAGATAACGAAAGGATAAAGTGAAAAGAAAGCTCAAAACAATTAGAAGGTATTTGTATGCATATATAATTTTATTATTGCACTTCCTAGAACAGTACCATTCTGTTCCCGTGGCATTCAATGTCCCGGTCATCTCCTACATAGGAGGGCCACGAAGCCTATCGCTCTTCAAAGTTTATATGATCGTATGGTCGTCATCTCGTGATGTGAAGAATCGCTATATCGATGATTCCATAGAACTCCGTAGTATCGCTCTGCGCTGGATATCCAAAAAAGGGAAGGAAAGATAGATATGAATGAAGAAAAAGGGCTATATCAAAGTCAACCTCGCGAACTCCGGGGTCGCGACATTTGCGAGGAGGAGTCGCGAAGGATGTCAGGCGCCCGTGGTCCAACCATCCAATCTTCCATCGCAAGCCATTCACTCCAGCTCCTCTCGGCCGCTTCAATCTCTGAATCCAACGGTCCTTGCAAAGGACGCAAGAAAGGAATGGTCTCCAAAGGAGAGATATCGTAGTCTTTCTTCACACAAGCCCAGCCGCCACTCTTCGCAGCGAAAAGATAGTTACGACGCTCTTGTTCATGCAGAAATCCAATACCAGACCCCCAATCGTCGCCAAAGAATCCATGTAGTACACCCGGGAAATCCATCCCCGTCGCCACAAGACGACGAATATACGGGATCAAAGAGACAGACGGGGGAGGATTTGAATTGGAAATTGACGCAGGTGTGGTACTAGCCGTTGGCGTGTGATCGGTGGAAGAATTGAACACGGGGTGCGGTTGACGTTGAAAAGGGAGACGAATATTTAAGAATGTTGAAAGTGCCTGAACGGTGGTACTATGTTGTGCATGGTCGAGGAAGTAGCGCTGGCAATTCTGATAGTGGGGGTGCCATTGGAAGATATCGAAGCCATCACTATTCACCCCGGGGGAGGCTCCAGTAAGTCCAAACATCGCAGTTGGATCGAATTGCGGCGACGAGTTCATTTGGGTCCCGGACGAGCGACTCGACTGGTTTTCAGGGTTCCTGTTGGAAGCGCAAACTTAGCCCCTATCCTTTTTTCCCCTTAATTTCAAGATATCTTTCTTAGCCCCTCTAGCTTTTAGTGCGTGAGTGTGTGTGTGTGCCCGCGTGTGTTCGTACGTGGGGCGGGTCAAGACTTATGATATAAATGTGCAAGGGCCAATTTCCTCCGATAACAAGAGCAATTGAAGTTGACCAAGTGTGGGAACAGGCGAGAGGGAAATTACTTGTTTGAAAACACACTCCTGCCTCGACGAAGCAAGACAGACACCCTGCGTCGAGACGGGGACGGAGATGGAGAGGACTGGAACAGGTTTTTGATAGAAAACGCCAGTCCTCTTCCAGGATGAGCTTCGTTCATAGACATCTGCTAGACAACGTCCATCTACATACGCGCAAGCCAGACACGGCTCATGACAATGGAACAAACCGAGGAGGGGGAGGGGAGAAGTACAATGGGCAGACAACGGAGATATAGTTCTTTAGAGAAGGGCCCATTTGAGAAGAATATGAAACGGGACGTATGAGACATACATCAAATTTTTTTTTGAGAAAAAAGAAAAAGCTGAAGAAAGGCAAGAGAAAAGGGGAGACAAAAAACGGCCGGGAGGGTAAGAAAAAAGAGACAGCCTGCGGAGCTGGACTGAAGTGGATTTGTAGTATATTATTTCGGTGCGACTAACAAGAACGGGTCTGCCCGATGGAGTAACTCTTGGGAGACGTTGGCAGGTCCGTAGAAGAAATTGGAGAGTTTGGAAACGGTTGGCAGGCTATAGATTGGGAACGAATAAAAATATAAATAAAATTTCTGGATCTTGGGGTTTTTATTTGTGGTTTTTTAATAGCCAATAGTGCTAATTGTGCAGTAATAAAGTAACTGCCAATAATCATCATCCCACCAGATCTGGTCTGTCCGGGACATTTTCCGTCGGTTGGGGTACCTTATTTAGTTCGAGGGTTAAATTATTATCATTATAATCAATAGGTTAACGATGCAATGTAATCAATAATGAAAGCGAATAGAAACTTTTTCTTTTTCAATTTTATTCTTTCACTTGAAAATTTCTCTCAAGAAACTATTAGACAATATTGGAAAAGAAACAAAAAAAAAAAAAGAAAAGGGGGAAAGAGATTGGGAAATAGAATTGAAAAATACACCTGGTAAGAAACGAAAAAGCAAAATAAGAACGCAAAAATGAAAATAGGCTACAATACAGATCGATGCAGGAAAGGGAGGGTACTTACCCCGTCCCTTAGCGGATGGCGAAAAAGAAGAAAAAAGAAAAAAAGAAAAAAGCCATGGTCATCGCGTGTCCTCTTCTTGGGTAGTGGATCCGGGAAAATGGATGATAGGGCCATACGCCTAGATTCGAGATATCCGTGCAGCTGCATACTTCCCATACTTAGAGAGTTGTGGCTTAGAGCTGGATTAGGAAAGAAATCTATATTGTTTGTCCTGAACTTTTCTTTGATCCCCGTAACGATCTTATGATTCGAGATTTAAATTACATGAACTAAATGGACAATATCACTTTCTATGTATGTTTATTTTCATTTTTCATCTTACGTAGTCTAGTTTAGTTTAAACTGCAGATCGGTCTGACGCTTTACGAGAATTAAAAGCGGATTTACGGAGTCAACCTTTAACGTCAATAGGAAGAACGGAAAAAAAAAAAAAGAGGGGACGGACTTCCCATCAAGTCTGAGATCCACGATCGTCGAATCAGATCCACTCCAGACTAACTGCAGAAATCTTTCATCCCTAGTAGTTGAACCCATCCTGTACCATGGTTGCAATTTACATCAATAATTGTCTCCTCGCGACTGTGACAATACGGTGACATACCTCCTACTCTTCCTAGTACCTCGCACCACCCTGGTCTACTAGTAGTTGAGGTCAATGCTTTGTACTTATTTATATAGACCAATGTTGTGTAACAGCCACTTTATAGTTTATGCTTAGCAACAGAGCTATGGGGTTGTACAGGATATGGTACAGGGTCTACATACAACGACCATCAGACCCTGCCTTAGGATCGTCTTCCGTGTATGGATGTATATACTGTACAGGTCCTCTCGTATAAAACTTGTAAAGGGAAAAGAGATAGCCGTTACGAACCAATGCTCTTTCTTTTTCATTGCTAGTTTACTTTAGGGTTGTCTCACAGTATTCCGGGCTGTACCTGGGTAATTATCTCTAAATTTCCCTAGGGATAGGCTTGTAGTTGGGCAGGATCTTAATTCAACTGGTGACACTCGCATATGCATCTATACGTCTACTCCTCTGTCCTCAGGGTTCAGGTGACGCTAGACAGCTACGGCAATATAGCAGTTTTGGGTATGCTGGTGATAGCTTAGGTAGTGTAAGCTATTACTCAGTTTACTCACAATCAATATGCAAAGTCGAAATATCACAAGTAGACTCAGTAGCAACCCTGACTTCACTGAATCTTACGTTATGCACTGTAGACATGTATGTACGAAATAAAGTCATATATTAGGTAGTTCCTAGGCACGTTCTATGGATACGTACTTAGTCGGTATTGTAATGTAACGTAAGGGAAGAAACCTTTAGTAATTGTCCCATCATTCAGCCGCAAGTTTCCCGACACCAAAATGCTTATGATAATAGGTAAGAAGCTGAAATTAGGTCGAAAAGGGCTTCTTTGTCTCGTTCTTAATTTTTTTTATTAAACTCAGTTCTTATTCAAAACTTTGCATATGATATTGGCTGAACGGCTGGGGTCCAGGGGATTTGCCACATCGTTGATGCAGACAGGAGATTTTGGGCCTTAGTCAGATCTACAACCTGCAACATCAGGTATCTACTGCATTAGTACTAGTATGCAAATGCTGTAGCTGGATAGCATGGATGGAGTCAGAGCTGATATCTAGCTAATTTCACCACCCAGTCATTACTATCTCCTGCCCAGTCATCGCAGATCACGCAAGCAGATACATCCCTAGAAAAAGCAATGGTGACCCAGAAAAACAAGGGTTCGCTCCAGACATTCCACTCGAGCCAGAAGCTGACGTGAATTAGCACCATCACTGCATAACCATGCATTGTATACATCCAGTGATGTTGTAGAGAATGGAAGGATGAGCGGTGAGCAGCAACAAGCGAGTTTCCACTACTGTGACGTGCTGTTGAGACGGCATATTTTTGACGCAAATAGGGTATACATCACCCCTGGCAGAATCTGATAGATACAATGGTGGTTGTGGAATGTGATGCAGGCATAATTGATGTATCCCGCCCGTGTTCTGCACCCTCGGCCATGGCCCCTTAGGTTGATCTTCGTCGGGACTGTTGTGTCTTGATATTAATGGACGATTCGACTGACAACAATTTCCCAACAACATCTTCGAGACCAAATATCATGAGTGGTTGAGGTCTATAGTTTAACTTACGTTGATGCAGTGGCTATACTGCATAGCGGTGTGCTGTAGTATGCGAGATCACCGTTAGCTGTGCCAGTTCCTCACTAGAGTGAAGTCGACTGTCTCCAATTTTTTTAATTTATTTTTTTTTTTAAAAAAAAAATCTCGCTCTTTATTCTGTTTCTAACCACATTCTCACAAAGAATGAATTCGTTGATCTATCTGGAGAAAGGATCTCAGCACAAGGTTACCAGGTCAAGTATAAGACCAATGGACCAGTGCTTCGCGCTATAAACGCCAAGTCCTACAGCCCCATCATATGCAGGATAAGAGCGGCACATCTTAATGACTTAACGCCGAGGGGTGATCCCGAAGGCATTTCCAGGAATTCACTCACATAAGGTGCAAATGCACGTTTACGAGACCCATGCGTACTACTCCTTCTAGCTTAATTGGCGGACTGACAGTCGTAAGGGGTACTGGGTGAAGTTCGCCACACTACTAGTACAGACGGGACTATTCTCCTTTGAAGGTGAGGGATAAGGCGGCCTCTGATTATAGGTTGTTCAACTAGGTAGACACCATATCGATTTCGATAGATAGATTGAGCTATGTCTAAGTTATTGTCTGTTAATTGCAAAATTACATGCTGATACATACAAAGACTATCTGTATACTAGTATACATACACACCTCCTATAGGCCAGCGGGCCAATCGATAAAGTTGATGCCTAACTATGAAGACATCACAAGGTATTGTGCGATTAAGCAAGGTGCTAGTTCTAAACTATGTGAGCACTCAATATTGAGTCGGTATAAAGGCACCCTCCTTGTGTCCAATCTTCGGATGTCGCGGAAGCCACAGCGATCTGCGCTCAGCCTCACAGATTTTGCCACTGTGGCGTGGTAGATGTACGTACAGCATATACGTGAGAGTGTGCATCGAGCATGCTCCCCCCCCCGGCCCAGCCACCATTGCCACTAGAGTGCATTAGCCACAATTTGCCACAGAGCCTATTTTGGTAAATAACAAACAGTTTGTAGGTCAATGCTTGCTCCCTTTGTTGTCTCCTTGTCTCGGACGGACCGCTCCAGTATTCCTTTCAGAATGCAAATGCCTCGCATCTTTTTTCCTGGATAGTAAAGACTGTGAGCATCTTCAGGCGGTGAAACAATTTCTGACGCAGAATCCTGCTTTGCTTTGTCCAAAGAACATACGGTTGCCGAATCAATATACCAGTCGACTTTCTCGTCTTGAGCTGTGGGGTAGCTCCAATGACGTCTTATCTTCTCACCCGAACATGGCTCCACTGTTAATGCAGGGACCTCAATTAGGAACAAGTACAGTGCAAGCGGAGCCTTATGAGAATGTCAGTGAATAACTGTGGTAAGGGTTGCGGTTGGGTATCAGGAGTCCAAGATCCTATACGGAACTCAAAGCAAGGAATACCAAATGAGTGAGCACTAAGTAAAGCCCAAGTGGAGAACTCGGGATGCGCTTAACATTATCCGGATGATTGGGCATATGGCTTATTCCAAAATGGCCATGAGGTCTTACTTCCTGGCCGAATCCAGCCGGTATAGGGCAAGGAATAGGAGGTGTCAACTCAATAGTCCATATATAATCATCTCTTTTAGGTCACACACACATCCCCACGACGGTATCATGTCCTTGCAATGGGGAATGTTTCTCGTTCTTTTCCTTGAATTATAGTTATGTCAAAGACAGTGTGGATACAATTTTAGTGCTCCATAGACTAGCCAGCATTGGCAAGGCTATCATTAGTTTACTCCGTAGTTTGAATCCCGGCCTCGGCCTTTGAAGAACAGTTCCCTTCCCGGGGCTCTCTCCCTTTCCATTTTCTTTGCTTTCCTTTTTCTATCCTTTCCTTTTCCTTTGTTTTTTTCTTGTTTTTTTCACGGAAAAATTGTGCTAACCATGTGTTTGGGCGACGTGTGTTTCTTCTGAAACACTGTGAAGAGGGCGACGGCACGTTACTTGACCTACTAACTTATATCGTCATTGACCCTACTAGTACTAGGCCCTGACGATCGTTGATTCTTTCTCATCCTCTTGCTGCATCTCTGTTGTTCTCAGCGGAGGACTGATCAAAATCAACAACAATAAAACTCGTAATTCTCACCTTTATTTAGAGCCGAGGACATGGATTCCTGGTAGATCGTATCGACAGCGAGCGGTTTAAGCCATGGCCCCGAGAATATTTCCGTGCCAGGAGGTCATTCGAAGACCCACTCTCTTTGAGATCCTTGGCCACCAAAACCTACTACGTAGTATTTATCCAGACCATGTGGAAATCTGCAGATCAGTGATGGTGATCTTGTTCACATATCTTGGCGTCGAATGTCTCTCATACTAGTATCCAATTGTAGCCACACAGCCCAACTATTCCTTCAAAAGAAATGTCAGAAAAAAGTATAACCCAGTATGAATATCAACTCCGAGAGACTAGTGACAATCCCACCCCCACTTCAACCTGTTTTTCATTTCATTTCTTTTTTCCTTTTCCTTTCTCATTATGGAGAAGAATTACCTATCATTGTGCCCTTCCCCACCACCAAATAAAGCATCAAGATGGGTGCCTAAACTCGACAGCCTCACTGATCAGTCCTCAGGCCGATCCTCCCTTCGGCCGAAAGTGCGCCACATGACAATAGTCCCACCAAGGTTATAGAACCCCCAAAGTTTGATTTTAACTGACGATACCTTCAAATGGCTCGCCGCTTGCATACGGGTAGCGTCGCGGGTCTCTGTGATGGCCCTAACGCAATATGCAAGGGCTATCACTGCGCGCTGAAACCTATGGGGAATTCTGTAGGCATTCAATCAATCAGAACCCATGGATTCTGCCAATTTTTGAGCTTCAGAATCAAGGTCTACTACCCCTTTGGTGCGGCAAATCCAATACGGATACGACACATCCATGTCATCGCGATGGGACTGTCGAGAGTGCGGGAGAGAGTCTGGGGCATGCTGAAGCTAGGGATCTGCTGTTACCAGGACTGTACAGGTATGCTGTTGGTGGATTTTTCTCGTATATAATCTTCCTCATTAAAACGTGTTCAGCTTTAATGCATCGTTACTTTACCATGTCCGTAATCATTACCTTAGGCATTCAAAGGTTCCAAGGGGATATGCCTTATTTTTCTCCCTAAAACACTTACAATGCCCTTGCACCAGCCGGGGGGGGGTATGTCGTTGAGGGTTTAAGGCACACCCGTCATCCCAAATGGTGCTTTCGCCTAAGACATGCTTTACTCGATCATCGCCGTCCTAATCTGCAGCAACACTAGAGGTATGGTAGCCGATGCATTGTGATCACTGATCAGGACTCCAAATCACCTCTATGTTGATTTCGGTGTGCTTCTTGAATGTCTGAGCTTCAAAAGAGAATGGTACATGGTTTCTCTCTGGCGTCACCTATTTCATGTTATCAATTGTATTGCGATGCAGTCTAACCTTTGTATTTTTAGTTAACTACATACAAGCTAATTGAACCATATTCATCATTAACACGTGTAATCCATCTCAGTTGGTAAGTATATTGAAGGTTCTTTCCAAAGAAATCAACCAGCTTAGGACCAGACTCATTCAGATCATCATAGATGTCGAAATGGTTCTTGCCCTTCACAACGAACAATTCCTTGGGCTCCTTCGCAATCTCCACTGCCGTCTTACTGTAGTGAAGCGTCTGCGCCTCACTACCAGCGATCATCAATAGCGGTCTAGGCGAGATGATGTGCTGGAAGTTGAATGAGTCATAGGGAATCATAAGATCGTAGCTGACGGGAGGCACTTTCTGATTCGAGCGCTCATGCTTCCCCCTGTCCGTTCCATAGTACGCAGCAGCGTCCTTGAAGAATGGATCCGCATCGTCCGGCACATTCGTCGCATCGAACATGGCGGGAGCCTCGCTAGGAGCACCATTAGCGACGTTGGTCCGCCACTGGCCGGCATACTGAAGGGCACCGGCGATAGCCTCGGCATTCTCCTTGTTGTGTTCATGGACGCCTCCGTTGCGTGTCATGCGACCGACGCAAGCAGCGCTAACGGTGGCCAGGGCACGGATGCGAGAGTCAGACTGAGCGGCGTACGAAGTGTAGCCGCCCGAGGCGCAGATGCCCAACACTCCGATCCGTGACGCGTTCACCTGATCCTTCAGTGTTGTCAGGTAGCTGACGGCTGCCTTGATGTCTTCGACGCGCTGGTGGGGATCTTCGAGGCCGCGAGGCTCGCCGGTGCTTTCACCTTGGTAGCCGGCGTCGAAGGTGAGGGCGTAGAAGCCGGCCTTAGCCAGGGCTTTGGCGTAGTCGGTTGAGGTTTGCTCTTTCACACCGGTCATCGGGTGGCTGACTACTACGGCGGCACCTTTGCGGTCTGGGGAACCGTCTACTGGTGCGTAGAGTTCACCACAAATCTTCAGGTGGAAGGATGGGAAAAGGACCTCCGTTGGGGATGACATGGTGTCGGGAGATCGGTGATTGAAATCGGATAGACTTGATCTGGAACTAGTCTCCGGGAAAGAAGTTCAGGTTGAAATGGGATCTGTAATGATAAAGCTGCTGTTGAAGGCGAGTCCCTTCGTACATTGTGTATATATACCTTCGTTCAGGTCGAACCACATGAACGATGAAACCTAACAGCTATAATCATGACGTATCCAAAGTCTTGGAATATTTCGGCGGAACTTAAACTATTTCGGGCGACGGAATTATTCTCAGGGGTTGCTGGCCCTTGTCATTGGCTCGTTTGGCCTCAGGAATACGGTAAACCCCCGTTATAAGCAATCAATTTAGCGAGCGACTCAAATTGCCTGTCTTCGGCCGAAATTTTGAGATGATCGGCATGCCGTCGGCCGAAGGAATTAGAGGCTGTGATTATCTCCTGATGAGGAATTACACACTCTCCGGAGTTTGAGCGGACATAGAGTATGTTCAAAGTGGTTACTAGGAGAGGGCATTATGGAGTTAAGGATTCATAATCAGATGATGTTTTTTGCTGACGGACTACTTATAGGTGTATAAGCTGTATTCCCGAGAGCTCCACATTTGGCAGAGTAACCATCGGCTTTATCGGAAATACTTGTGAATAAGGGATGATAGAATTTTAGTCAGTATAACTTGAGTCTTAGTGAATGGTCTAGAAGAAAAGCATCGCCATATAAATTTAGCTGGTGTTGCTAGGATATATGGCCAATTCACCTTCTGCGAGTTTAAACAACCTAGCAAACACTTGGACTCAATTCCAGAATATATATTCGACAATGTCCTCTACAGAATCAAGATATGCCAAAGCTCACGAGTCCCTCGGAGGACCTGGTGATGCACGACCTACCGCATTACAAATTGTCCAGGACGAGAACCGAGTAAATGATCTCACCGACAAGGTGGTCATGATCACAGGCTGTTCATCCGGGCTCGGTATCGAGACCGCCAAGGCCCTCTTCCACACGGGAGCAACATTATACCTGACAGCCCGGGACCTAGGAAAGGCCAAGACCGCATTGGGCAACATCGTCGATAGTCCGCGAGTCCATCTTCTCCACTTAGATTTAAATTCCTTGGCAACCGTCCGCGCATGCGCGGAAGAATTCAAATCTAAAGAGAGTACTCTGAACATTCTGATTGAAAATGCCGGCGTGATGGCATGCCCCGAAGGTCGGACAGCCGATGGGTTCGAAATGCAGTTTGGCACAAATCATCTGGCTCATTTCCTGCTCTTCTACCTGCTCAATCCGCTGTTGCTCTCTTCCTCAACCTCTAGTTTCCAGTCCCGAGTGGTCGTGGTAGCTTCCAGCGCCCACAGGGTTTCATCGGTTCATTTCGATAACATCACTTTGGAAGGTGAATATGAACCGTGGAAAGCTTATGGTCAAAGCAAGACAGCAAATATCTGGATGGCTAATGAGATCGAGAGACGCTATGGCTCAAAGGGTCTTCATGCCTTTAGTCTGCACCCTGGTGCGATCGCCACTGAGCTCCTTCGCCATGTTTCGGATGAACAGAAATCCGCGTGGGATGCTGATGACTGGCTCAAGAAGTACTGGAAGAGTCCTGAACAGGGAGCCGCGACCAGCGTCTGGGGTGCCGTGGCGAGGGAGCTGGAAGATACCGGAGGAAAATACCTGGATAATTGTCAAATCGCATCACCTGCTGACCCGACCAAGCGACATGGGCCAGGCTATGCTACGTGGGCGTACAACCCGGATGGTGAAGCAAAACTTTGGGCGAAAACTTTGGAATTACTTAAGTTAAAGGACGAGTAAGCTTGCGCTGTTATCCATTCGACCGATTCTCCCTTTTTGTACAGAATATTTTGCGATATAGGTAGGTAGTCACTAGGATATTAACGAACGAATTTGTGTTTAAAGAGAAAATAAAGGCTTCACACCGAAATTCTGGTAACAAGCAATGTGAAAGCGACCAATAAAAAATGTCCGACAGCGTAGTGAGGCGATTTGTATCACTGTGCTGAAATGGTCACACATAAATTCTTCTTGGCTGTGTATAAGTCATCAAATGCATACGTAGTGTCGTTAACAACAGGACAGATATCAATGAGGGGGAAGGGGGTGGAAAAGGACGCCGTTATCGGAGCGGTTATCAGAGTGGTTATCAGACCTTATTTATGACGGATAGACTTCGCATAATCATCTATTGCTGGCAAATCTATTCGTGGATTCAGCATTCCTGATCGCTCCCCAAACCATAATTGAGATGCATTAGCCGAGAGCTTGGCTGACGATCTTCCACTAAGAGGGCAGGTGTGGGTACACAGCCTCGTTTGACTCGGTTTGAGACTTTGAGTCGGCCCCGGGGTTGAATGTATGTACGACGCGCTAGTGTCTTATCAAGCCTGGGGTGGACATGAGGTAATGATATTACTGAATATGATATGCGAGGGAGACGTATACTCAACGACTCATGAATCATCGAGTCAGAACGGGCTCGGGTTCACCCCGCCAATTACTCCGCATTAGACCTAAACACGATGCTCTCTGCATCTAAAGACTTTTTTGATGTACAGATGGTTGTCTCGGACAAAGAACAGGGAAATGTCAACATGTTGTTCGAACTGAGCCTTCAATCGAGTCCATTCTATACAGAGTGTAGCTTGTGGGCAGAATCATACCCAGATACTGCACCGTAGTTCTCATATAAACGATGCGCTTCCAGTATATCCTGGCCCAACCCTTTAATTAACAATAAAAAATTGATTTGGCTAACTCGCAAAGTGGCCTTCTATTTGAATCGGCCGACGTTGTAACCTTGAAGTTGTATTGGTCCAACCCGACTCGGATTTCCGTATCCGGTATGGAGGCGGAGGGCCGCGCTCCGTGCCGAGAGAAGTGCAGTCGGCCAAAGCAGGACACTTGTTAAGTTAACAACAACAACACAACAACCCGCTTTCAAATTATTCCGTAGACAGATAATCTCCCTTTGCCGTGAGTAAACCCCGTCTTTGTTGGACAGGATCGGGGGGTCGCATGACCCTCACCCCACGTTAAACTAAATTGGAGCGTACGGTGTAGCACGTCCCGCCTTTAGCGAGAGGAAATACTTATTCATCCTTTTTTCGGAGGAATCCTTTTAACATATTAGAGAGGAGGGATCGGTTTGTAGTCCATGCACCCCCCGACCGATTGGTCTGAGCGTTGAGGGGGGAGGAAGTGAATGTGGTCAGATACTGCAACCGGTTAGTATTCACTGATAAGGTAGTGAGTAAAATGATCAGATAAGAGATTCGATGGAGGAGCCTGTGGGGCCTCAGGGACACCGGTCGAATGAGGATTAGCGGGACACACGTGAGCCGGCACTTTGGATCGGGACTGGAGGATTCGCCGGTCTTGGCAATGAACATAACAGTAATCCGTACAATGTACCCAATTGAGATTCAACCATAAGGACTCCAGGTGTTAACGGTCCTAGGGGATAGAAAGAGACATACTCTGCGTATGCTACATGGTATTGATGCCCGACTCTTCTCCCGATATCGTTCCATAAAAGAATCATCTAAGAAATTTCGATCCACGAGGATTTCCCGGAACCAAAAGCGGACTGGCGGGGGGCGGGTTTCCGCCGATAGATAACGGGCAGATTGTGATGACCTTAAAGTATCGAATAACACACCCGAAGTTCGGACGTTAACCAGCGCCGTGGTGCCGGCCTTCCGCTTAGCCGCCTAGTCCCCTACCTTAATTCATTCAACGAATCATCGACTCGAATGGCCCACCTCCACTCCTACTGTCCTCCCCCGTCGGCCATTCCCACCCTCTTTCTCGTCCGACTCCGGCTCAGTGCTCGCCGCCCTCCGCTGACATTTGCCCGGACATAAATTCCCTTCATCTCTCGCCTCAATCTCTTCTTTTTTTCTTCTTCACTGCTACAGACATCTCTCTCTCTCTCTTATCCTTTAAATATCCTTAACTCGTCTTGACTCCGGTCAATTGACACTTTGCCACCGGCTTCTTATCGATATCTGATAAGCCCCTCACTTTCACCTTCACACATTTTCTCAAAAGAGACAAAGCAAATTCAAGATGTCCAACCTTCCCATTGAGCCCGAGTTCGAGCAGGCCTACAAGGGTATGTATTCTTGAAAACTATCATTCGTTGATCTATTGATAGATCTTTGTCGGATTGTGTCTAACAAAAAATTTCCAGAGCTTGCCTCTACCCTGGAGAACTCCACTCTCTTCCAGAAGAACCCTGAGTACCGCAAGGCTCTCGCCGTTGTCTCCGTCCCCGAGCGTGTCATTCAGTTCCGTGTCGTCTGGGAGGATGACAACCACCAGGTCCAGGTGAACCGTGGTTTCCGTGTCCAGTTCAACTCCGCTCTCGGTCCCTACAAGGGTGGTCTTCGTTTCCACCCCTCCGTCAACCTTTCTATCCTTAAGTTCTTGGGTTTCGAGCAGATCTTCAAGAATGCCCTGACCGGCCTGAATATGGGTGGTGGTAAGGGTGGTTCCGACTTCGACCCCAAGGGCAAGTCTGACAACGAAATTCGCCGCTTCTGTGTTTCCTTCATGACCGAGCTCTGCAAGCACATCGGTGCCGACACCGACGTCCCCGCTGGTGACATCGGTGTCACCGGCCGTGAGGTCGGTTTCCTCTTCGGCCAGTACCGCAAGATCCGCAACCAGTGGGAGGGTGTTCTCACCGGTAAGGGTGGCAGCTGGGGTGGTTCTCTGATCCGTCCCGAGGCCACTGGCTACGGTGTTGTCTACTACGTTGAGCACATGATCAAGCACGCTACCGACGGCAAGGAGTCTTTCACTGGCAAGCGCGTCGCCATCTCTGGTTCCGGTAACGTCGCCCAGTACGCCGCTCTTAAGGTTATCGAGCTCGGCGGTTCCGTTGTCTCCCTCTCCGACAGCAAGGGTTCCCTGATCGTCAATGGTGAGGGCAGCTTTACCCCTGAGGAGATCAACACCATCGCCCAGATCAAGGTCGACCGCAAGCAGATCTCTGAGATTGCCAACACTGAGGCCTTCGCCACCAAGTTCAAATACATCCCCGGTGCCCGTCCCTGGACCCACGTCGGCAAGGTCGACGTCGCTCTTCCCTCCGCTACCCAGAACGAAGTCTCCGGCGAGGAAGCCCAGGCCCTCATCGACGCTGGCTGCAAGTTCATCGCCGAAGGTTCCAACATGGGCTCCACCCAGGATGCCATCGACATCTTCGAGGCCCACCGTGAGGCCAACAAGGGTGCTGCCGCCATCTGGTACGCCCCTGGTAAGGCCGCCAACGCCGGTGGTGTCGCCGTCTCCGGTCTCGAGATGGCCCAGAACTCTGCTCGCATCAACTGGACCTCCGAGGAGGTCGATGCTCGCCTCAAGGGTATCATGGAGGACTGCTTCAAGAACGGTCTCGAGACTGCTATCGAGTACGCTACTCCTTCTGAGGGCGTCCTTCCTTCCCTCGTCACCGGTAGCAACATTGCTGGTTTCACCAAGGTTGCTGCTGCCATGAAGGACCAGGGTGACTGGTGGTAAACATTCTGCGAATGTTTTTCCTAAGTCAGCTTCTTTGATTCACGCTCCCATTGATACCTCTTGTTTACGATGATGATCCTTTTTTGGTCCTTTTGCCTGTTTAAGCGCGGTTGGTTGATAGAGGCGCCGGTGTTCTTGCCTTTTTTAATCTCTTATGATTTTAGGCATGGTCTGATGCCTTGCACATAATCATGATTTACGAATAAAATATTATTAAAATCAAAATTTGTCCTTCGAGTTCTCGTATGAAGGTATCCAGATTGCTTAGTAGTCCCCTATAAAGCAGTGTGACTGGAGATGGTGAAACCGTACACCTACTCTTGTATAAAGGAATCTTTCATTAACCGAAGCACCTTCGATTTACTCCACACTTCCAAATCTCAACCAAACAGGATTAGAAGTCTTATTGATGTATGTATGAGTATTGTATATATATATAGGACAACGCATTCTGTACATTAAGCTAGCAAATGCACAACATTCGATTAGGGCAACTAGGGTGCATCTGTATCCGTCCTAAACTGAACACAAACAAAGGCATACCTACATAGCTTTTCTATAACAATGGATTGGAACGGGGGAATGACAACAAGAGAAGAATAAAGGGAAAACAGAACGACCATCAATCAGGCCATATCCTCCTTCACTGTTTGACTCATCGCCTGGACAGGGGTTGCTGGCTTGGTGCGCTTTCTCATTCCAAGAAAAGAAAGGCCGAGAGCAACAACCCACTCAGATCATAGAATGGGGAGGGCTCGGTACAAGTGCGGGTTACAGTCGTCGGTCCAAATCTGAAGCAGGATCTCATAGAGCTCGTGGGCAGGAAAAACATAGCCCAAGCGGTAGAACCCTGGGGAGAGCTCAAAAGGGCTGATACTACTTGAGACATTGAGGATGATCCAGGTTAACATGAAGAAAGACATGAACTGCACCGGAATGAATACGGTGGCGGCGTCGATGATCAGGAAGTTCAGGTGCATGACCAGCCAAATTGCCATCCATGTCAAGCCAATTTGATCGGACGTGGCGTTCCAATCCTCCCGGAATCCCCAGATGTAGCCACTCATACAGATGGAGGCGATGAAGGTATAGCAAATGGAGATAATCAGCCGGAGGGCGATATTCTGCTTTAGCGAGAGGCTGGAGAAGACCTTAAACTGCGCGGAGATACTGTTGAGCGCCATGAGAAAAAAGAATTGTTGCAGGATGGGCACGACCATAGAAACAATATTATAGTAGAATCGGACTCCTTGAACCATAGGCTGGAGATCAATTGAAGAGCTTGAGATAGGGTCAAGCACAGTTTTGGCGATGTTTGGGTCGGAAACGTTGTTGGTTGATAATATCGTAGTCCCATTCATTTGATCATAAACGCCGGCGGTGCCCTGGACGAGCTGAACCAGCATCGAATACACGCTTTGGGCACAGGCGGAGTATTTAGCCCCATTCCAGATATAAGTTAGGGCCTGAGAGTTATTGTACACCCTAGCGGCTTCTGAGGAAGACATTGCCGTGGCTAGGCGGGAGGAAGCATTTGCTTTGGAATATATGGCACCCCAGTAATGACCTTTGCAAACGGCATTTCGCACATCCTGCTCCGTCGGCTATTCGGATATGGGATGTCGCTGGATGGTTGGAAATAATGGGCCTTTCATTTGGTCGTACGCTGTCATGACGGACTGGTCAATCACGTCCTGATCATAATCCACAAACAAAAGCTTCATAGTACTAAATCGAATCGAGTCATGATAGGCAGTACCATACAGATAGCACATGCTCGCGAGAAACAGCAGCTGGAGAGAAATAAACGCTCCTCCAAGCGCACCGAGAAATGGTTTTGGCAGCTGCATGTCGCTAGCTGAAGGATTGGGATGTTGCCAGGATGGTTGATGACGGTTTCGGTTTTTCAGTCCAGCAGAAGCGAGAGTTCTTGGGAAAGTTACAATTGACGTCTTAAGGTACAATGAGATTGATATCAGAGAAGAAAAACGAAAGGAGAATACCGAGTAGGACCAGGGGAATCCATAGGGAAATTTCCCCTAATATAGCCCTCGGATTTGCCATCAATAGTACGATGTCCGAAATCTGAGCGAATAGACTCACCGAGCTGTAGCTTATCCTTTAACTTTGCGTCTTGATAATGTTTTCTTTTCACCCTTAGTATGAGCCCAGGCCATGATTGCCATTGGAGCCATTGTGTTTAAGCAACTGGGGATGATATTCTTAGGGCAACCTCCATGTCCGATTAGCTAATCGGAATAAATTGACTAAGTAAGCGGACGGATAGTCGGACACCAAACACACCCAAAATATCAAAAGGTCCCGTTTGCTGCCGGTAATCCGACTTCCAGCAAGGAGTCGGAAGTGTATCATATAGAGTTCATTTGTTACTGAATATGATGATCATCTATTTTTCTCAGAGAAGACAAGAATCTGCGATTAAAACCAAGCATTTTCAAGGCTTTGTTTGTTCATTTCATCTATTGTATGCATATTTTCATTAGCGGAGACAATAAGAGAGTATCAGGGCGTAGACTAGAGTAAAATAGATGTCCCCTGACCTGTTAAGATCCTTCAACCATAACGTGTATGGCCATATCCTTGGAAGATTGGGTCATGGGCAATACAACGCAATAGTCCAAACGAGAAACCCCACGCTGAGATGATGATCACTACCCATCGATCGTGGTGGAGAAGAATTTCATGCTCTATACCTAGCCCTTATCACTTCTGTGAGAGTATAAAATGTGCCTGGGGTTCGTTTATAAGATGCCCAAGTTCCCGAGATTATTCTCTCAGCTTAGAGCTGAATCCATCTATTCAGACCTCTTCCCTTCTCTTGGTCCTTTGATTGTGCTCTTTAAAGTTTTGATTCCTCGCATAGTACACGCCGCAATCAACATGCCCGTAAAGGTAGTCGTTGTTGGTGCCGGTCTCGCCGGCCTGGGTGCTGCAATTTCGTTAAGCCGTGCAGGCAATGAGGTTCAGGTCTGATGATCTTTATCTTGCCGTGTACCCTATTGTCTTGAAAAGTGAGGTTGGCTGGTCCTGCCCGTAGGTTATTGAGCAGCCGGGGTTTCTGAACGAAGTCAGCGCTGCCATCCATGTGGCGCCCAATGCCACCCGAATTTTGACGGCCTGGGGATGTGATTTGGAAAGTTTACATCCCGTCCACTGCAACAAGTTACAAGTGTGGGATGCCTCAGAGAATCTTATGTGGACTCCAATTGTGAGTTGCTGCTGGTGTGTCCGTTCTTCGCTGGCATAGCTGTGGATTAACCGGAAAGCTAGGTGACAAAAGAGCGCCAGATGGCCCTGAATACGACGGATGAATGGTTGTTGACCCATAAATCGACTTGACCTGCATAATGCCCTGCGCGCCGCAGCCACCAATGAGGCTAATGGCCACAAAATCAATATCTGCCTTTCTTCGCGTGTATTATCGGTGGTACGTCATTGTACACCCGTTATGGTCCTGATTTTACTAGGAGACGCTCACTGATCTCACATTTTCTGTTCATAGGATGCAGAGGCCGGCGAAGTAGTCCTCGAGGATGGTACGACATATGTCGCTGACCTAGTTGTAGGGGCTGACGGCATTCATGTAAGTTGTCCTTCAAGCATTATGTTTCACATAGCCTAGATGTATATTTACTCAAGTCATCCAATGTTGCCAGTCCCGCTCCGTTCAGGCCATCGTCGGGGAAAACAAAGGACGCCAGAGCACCGGTCAAAACTACTTTCGTTTCTTGGTGCCCATGGAAAAGATACAGGCCAACCCATTAACTGCCGCGCTTATGGCAAAGACGGGCATCGACGGAGTGCATGCCTTCGTGGCGCATGACCGACGCATCGTGGTTTATCCCTGTCGGGGTGGCCAGTTGCTGAACGTGGCAGGCATTCACCCTGCCGGAAAAGAGACGAACGCCAGAGATTCACCGTGGCTCGATGGGGGCAGCTTGAGCCAGCTGATTGAAACCTATCGGGACTTTGGCGAAGAGCTTCAGGAAATGTGTCGTCTCGCGGAGGATCTGAAGCTGTGGAGCCTGGCTTCGCGCAGGCCAGCTCCCAAGTTTGTGAGAGGCAAATTATCTCTAATCGGAGATACGGCGCATCCCATGCTACCTCGTATGTCTCTTACAATCCTGTGTTCTTTTACCATTTGTTTTACCTTTTTTTGCTGATTGGGTGCACCGCAAACCAAGGGCAAGGCGCTGCTCAAGCATTCGAAGATGCGGCGGCACTTGGTGGAGTGATGACAGATGATACGACCATAGAGCAGATCCCGCAGCGCCTGGAATTGTACAACAAGATCCGGTATAAGCACGCGGTGACTGTGATGATGATGTCCAAAACCCACGATGAACGACAGGTGGAAATGCTGGAAGAGCTCCGCACCTATGTGGCCGATGCGGAGGCCCCTAAGGATATGTGCGCCTTCACTTGGCCGTCAGATCCAATTGGGGATGCACATAAGCTGGTACAGGAAGCCCAGATATAGACAGAACGGCCCGCGTTTCTACAAGAGCTTTTGAGCTTACTACTACTATATGGAAGTATATGTGACAGTAACGCTGTTACATTGACCATGATTAAAGACATTGTGCCGGGGATACTTGTATGATTGATAAGGAAGCAAGAAGAGAGGAAGTAATACAACAATTGAAGTTGTATATATAGATGTCTTGTAAATGATGCCTACTATAGTAGGATCATTTGCTAGAGCGTTCTTCATCAGTCACGTTACTCGGAGGTGATTAGCTAAGCGGCTCTGCATCAATTGTTAGTTACCTAACGTTACCATACAAAGTCATGAGGCAGCTTAACTAATGCGCCCTTAAGGGGTAGAGAAAAGCCTCTAGTATAGTAATTTTATTCTTTTGTTTCCGTTCTTGACCATTGATTTAGTGATCAGTCCAATAAGATTCAACCTATATCGGAGCCAAGTAATTTCGTTCGATATGCCTAACGACCCAGTTCCCAGAAGGGTAACGGCCTGTGATGCGTGCTACAAACGAAAGGTATATATATCCATCCCATCCACATCCACTATATACTACTTCCATGAGTTTATAAACTGTCTCGGGTTAGATCAAATGTGACCGCGTTGGGCCCCAATGTAATTGGTGCCTCCACCATGACATGAACTGCACGTATTCATCGGATTTACGTTCGAAGAGACGACGTCAGGATGGCAGGTACTTATACTATACTGCTTTGACCTTCTACAAGATGATCTATGACCAACTATGGAACCTAATCTTGATAGTAGCCAAAGAATCAGTTTGATCGATCGCATTCGGCGCATTGACGACCGCAGAGCAGAAGCTGGAGTGATAGGTTTGTACTTTCTTGCCCCAGTCACCTTTTCCATTCTTATTCTTTCATACCTTGGATCACCTACTTACTTGCTAATAAAGAGAGACCGCCTGAGAAACAGCCTATCCACTTAGAGCAAGCATACCCACTAATACCATCCCCCAGGATTATTCACTTTGCAGGTTGGAAGATTGGAAATATTGCTCCTCAGATAGGAGTGCCGAGTCTTCTCCCTGAGGGTCTTCGCTGGATTGAGTCAAGAACCGGAACCGTTATCCCTCTTCCAAATCTTTGCCACGCTCCATGGGAGAAACCGCCCCTATCTCCTATGTCTCCGGACTTAGATGGTGTCCATGACGCCGCGTCAACACCCTCTGGGCTTCCCGCACCGACAGTACTGAAGCGATACCTAGACGTGTATACTTCCTCGGCCATCCACACAATCTTTCCTGTCATCAATCCGTCAATCTTCTCCCAGACGATACGCGCAGCCTATTTGCTGCCTGAACAAGATAAGAAGGCCCATTTTCCTAGTTCAAGGGCATGCATATTCGCTTTTCTGGCATTGATTTCTAGCTTAGATCATCTTGCAACTCGTTGTACAGCCCCCAAACCACCTCCTATTCCTCGAGACGAGTATGCTATGAAGGCCCAGGCTCTATTGCCGTCTTTGCTTCAAGAACCGCTCAACTTGGATGCATTACAAACATTTCTTCTATTGGTACTATCATCCATCCCATTTTGCTTTTTTATATCCCTCAAAAGAGAAGAATCAAAGTTCAGGCTGGGAACCTGCACTAATCCTTTCATTTCGGATCGACCCCAGTCAATACTAGGAGTACTCGCCGGCGAATTGCAAACAGCAACAAATTATAACTCGATCGCATCACGTTTCATCATTGCTCTGGGAGCTCACACAATGGGAGATCCGTGCGCGGTACCAGAATCTGTCATCGGAGGCTCCAGAGACAAAGAGACTAGGAAGCACCTTCGCGACCTTTTCTGGCTCTGCTACGCCCTTGACAAGGATCTTTCCTTGCGTACTGGGCAGAGCCACTGCCTCAGGGATGAAGACTGCGATCTCCAACTACCACCCGGTTATACTGAGAAACTACACTCCAGGATGAGCTATTCCTCGATGGAAAATGCGCGCGGTTTTCTGTTTCCCATCGACTTACGGCTCAGCATGGTCAAGTCTCAAATCTTTACCGCTCTCTACTCCCATCGTGGACTACAGAAAAACGACGCTGAAGTCGTCCGATCAATTCGGGAACTAGACGAAGAGTTAGAACTCTGGCGAATGTCGATGCCCTCAAATCTGAGACCCAAACTTTCATTCGCAAAAGAAAACTCTGAAGACCAGCGAGTCGACACCATGTATCTTGTGCTGACGCATTTGAACTACTACTTCTGCGTTAACATACTCCACCTAACCGGAAGTCGATGCGAAGCGTGGCGTTCGACTTCTACCCCAGCAAGCATGATGGACGGACTTCGCTTAAGTCTGACTCTATCCGTGGAAGCTAGTCGATCCCTTTTATTATTTCTACATCACTCTGAGTCCCTCGTGAGTGTAGGGAGCTTTTGGTAAGAGACCTACATGTACAGAACGTGGCTTTCGTCCTTAGTATGCCAAACTATACACAGTGTTCTTCTAATCTGCTATTGGCCATCTAGGACTATCCTTTTCTATCCTATGTCAGCGATGCTCACCATATTCTGTAACTTGCTGGAAAATCCACGTGCTGAGAGCGCAGCGAGTGATACGCAGCTCCTGGCAGTAACAGAGCACACGACTGAAAGGGTCTTCCTGAGACAAATTTCTCGAGCTGACAAAGCCGCTCATCTGCAAGCTATCACCGGATTTATCTCTAGTCTTCGAGATCTTGCCCAGCAGGCGATTCACCAAGCAACTAATGACACGGGGCCATCATGATTCACTTTCTTTTTTTTTTTTTTTAGTGTCTCGATAATGTTCTGAGTGAGCACTGGTTTCATGAGGAGCGCTCTTCAGTATCTTACGATCTCATGTGTGATGGACTTGACTAGACTACCTGTCGATTCTCAATTTCAAAGTCCCAGGGTCGTGTGGATCATTTATATACACGAGAATTCGGTTTCCCGTCCATTGCTGATTCCTCTATATGCTATATACTTCATCTGTCGGACTCTCCATTAATAGAGGAATCTATAACATCACCCAAAGACTTTGGGTATATACAACTATCGAAGTAATACTCCAGATCTCGGTCCAATCATCCGGTACATGCGTACAGCGCATTGACCTATCTCAAGAGGTATCCCTGTACAAGTATGCCTAAACCTTTTCCCCTCAACGCCTCGCTGTGCCAAGATAACAAGAGCAGACCGTAACAGACAATTAAATGGTATTATCGCGAAAAAAGGGTATCACATAAAAGAAAACACCTCAAAGAAACATACAGTTGAAAGCGAGATAGGCATTATGATTCGGGCCAAGGGGCCAAGTCATGTTGAAGGCCACCATGGGCAGCTGAGCGGGGGTGCCCATTATTAGCCAGCTCGGGCTGGGATGACGATTGGTCAGAAAGAGTAACCGCTGGCAGCAGGTCCGACAGGACACTTCGCCGTCGTGAATAAACTCCGCCCACAGAAGGGTTTTCCTTCTCCCGCTGGACAATATTGGGCTTAGAGCGGTGACGACGTGGGCGGCGGAGGTGTTCGTTTGGTACTGGGTCAACCTGCTTCTTTGCAGCAGGTACTAGGTTCAAGTACACCGGAAAGATGGCACCAGCGCAGAAGACAGCAACGAGGACACTATACGAGAATGACATGCCCCCAGCGAGGCTGGCTGCATGTTGTGCGAACGGGAAGCAGGAACCTCCGCTGATCGCAGTCGTCAGAAGCGTTGCAGCGGTCTTTGTATGTTTGCCTGCACCGCGGAGAGAGATGGCGAAAATAATGCTGAATGCACCACTTTCGAAGAGGTAGACCATGAGACCCATGGCAACCGCCGCGACTCCCGTCGTTTTCATGCATAGTATGGAGAAAACTATCATTCCAATGTACGATATAAGCAAAATCCATCGTGGCTTCAAGAATAATTGCAGAAAAGCGGCAAGGAAACGACCAACCGCAAAGATAGAATGAGCGATGGTCAAATAATCAAAGGAGCTAAGGCGAGAACTGTGTTTTGATAAGTGAACGTCCAGGAATATCGAAGTGACTTGCCAACTTACCTGGGATAGGCATCTTCGACGAAAACGGTGAAACTTTGTGAAATTATTTCCTGTCCGGCGACGTAGAAAAATTGTGAAAACACCCCCAGTCCTAAGGTTAACCAGACCACTGGAACCCCGGCGACCTGGGTCATGTTGTCGCTCCGACGCCGGTTTGCTAGCTCCTGAAGATCCTCATCCGATGCCTCTGGGATTGGTAAGTAATAGAAAGCCACAGCCAGAAGCACGTCAAATAATGCAATGCCAAGATAAGTCCATTGAACATCAACCAGAGAAGAAACGTCGGTCACCTTTTTGAAAAGGACCTTTTTCGCTAAGAGCGGCGAAACTACGCTTCCTATCGCTTGGACACCTTGCGAGATATTCAATCGAATCTCCGAATTCTCTAGAGGCCCACACAGTGCTATGAATGGGTTGGCGGCGGTTTCCAATACTGCTAATCCAAAGCCGACGATGAAGTTAGAGATGATGAAGGCAGAGTACGAAGTCAGGACAGCCGAGGGCCAAAATATCAAAGTGCCGCAAGCGTAAATACACAGGCCTGTGATGAAAGTCGACTTGAACCCCCAATGTTTCAGCACCGTGCGGCCCACCAGCGGTGGGCCTATGAAATACCCCCCGAAGTAAACAGCGTTCAGGCCCAACGATCGCCAGGCATCTAATCGAACAATATCCTGAAATTGTGCGTTGAGAATATCCAGCAACCCGTAAGCGAACCCCCACATGAAAAACAAGATCGTGGTTAGGGAGATCGGCGCAATGGATTCCTTGTTGCTGAGCTTCAGCATATTCGCTGGTTTCTTCATATTGACAAAGTCGAAGAAGGTGATGCTAGGCAGGTACGATGTAGTGGTGAGGGTTGTATTCGCTTCCGCATCGTGAGGTGGGTCACTGCCCATCAGGAATTCTCTCATATCGATTGGACCGCCCGTCTCTCTCGGACTGGCACTGCTACCACTGCCTGACGGAGAGGACTTACTATGGTTGGCGGACTGCGAGTGTCGTCGCATGTTGGGACCTGGGATAGTTGGAAGGTGCGCAGGTTCAGCAATATCTGGGATATCCGGAATATCTAGGGGCCCAACCGTGGGGGCATCGGGCACAGTCGTGCTATCGTCCGTGTCCCGGATCATCTTCGGGATGATTCGCGCTACTAACGGCTTGAGACTAGGCACACAGGCACACATGACCGACACATTGACCTCGACCACCGACCACATGAACGAAAGTGAAGCATACCCTTGTCAGGTCAGCAAAGGGCGTTAAATAGTTTGGCTGGGGGATACGGCCATGTTACACGTACAATTCAGGTCGTCACCGCTTGCATCCTGCAGGTGGATCTCTCTTAGCAAGATTTGGCGCGATGTAGCCGCATTTTGAAGGTAGGCAATGCGGATAACATCGACTACCGCGACGAAGAAACCAAAGCTAAAGGTGATGACAAGAATGATCTTCTGTTTCCGCGGAAGACGCATTTGAGTTAAGATGGGGTTTGGCAAGAAGAGAATGGCTAGGTCGGTAATGATGTTCACCGGAGAGGAAGAAAGGTATAGAGTGAGGATATCGGTACAGTGTGCATTCGGGGCCAAAGGATAGGAAAAGGCCGCTCCAACGGGACGACATTGAAAGACGTTGACCAGTGTGAGCGCCAATCCGGCGGCATTCACGACGAAAAGAGTCACATAATTTGCGCAACGGAAAACCCTCTCCCCTTGGGTTAGAGTGAGGTAGAAGACGAGGATGGAGGTTTTGACAGCCATCAACGCGGGGTTCTAGTGAATCAGCAATCGGAGTCAACCGGACTTTAGATAGCAACTCACATATAACACCGTGAATGCATAATTGGCTCGATTGAGGCTGTACCGGTCACTAAGAGCTATGTCGTCATCATGGAGACCCAGGCCTTTTCTCGTGGCATAAAATAGGGAGAATGAGAAGCCAAAATCGATGACCTGTGTAACGTCAGTCATTTATTTTTAATTTTTTTCGCCGTTCATCTGTTCTCTTTCCCACGCGACAACGCTTGAATTTCAACATTTGTATGCAACCACCGCGCGAAACATCAGACGTACCCATGCCAACAGCATCAAATAGTCATGTAGCCCGACTTTCTTAACGATGAAAACCCGCGAGACGAAGCGCAGTGCCACAAAGACGGAGGCGATAACGAAGAAGACAATGGACACGATCAACACTTCCGGTCTGCGGTCTTCCATGGTGGGCGACCGCGACCACTGCTCAAGTAGCCTCGTGTGAACCTTGGAGATCGCAGAGTAACAACCCACGAGCGTTCACGATCATTTAGATCTTATCGCGAGAGAATTCGACAGAGATGTAAGCGTTAATTCTCGAGGGTGAAACGGCTCCATGGTCACCGAATGCGGAGGAAGCGAAAAAAGGACGACAACATCCCCGATGATGGAGAAAAATTGACCGAGTAGAGAGAGAGAGAGAGAGAGAGAGATTGTGTGTGTGTGTGTGTGTGTGTGACACGCAGACTGCGAAGCTGTTAGGAGGGGCGAAGGAGGAAGCTAGAAAGACTAGAGGAATCGTTATTGATCTCGACAATAAGAATTAAAATCGATTTATTCGAGAAATCCGCGAAAAGAAGGGTCTATCAAGCAGAGGTAAGACAATAGGAATTTGCAAGAGGCAACGTCAGAGAATGGAGGAAGAAAGTTGGGACGATGAGGAGAAAGCGGAGAAAAGAAATTGTGTGGTTCGGCGTGGGTCTTTTTCTCACCCAAGGGATGAGATCCTGCATATTTTTATTTGTCTTCAATAGTTTGCGGCCCTCCTCACAAAGGCGAGACTATAAGTGGAATTTCAATTCGCCATGAACCTTTTTGGGAGATTTCGACTGGTAAGCTGGAGTTCTTCTCTATACTCCGTGGAGAGACGGCCGATGTTGCGCGGACAACTCAGCCACGTAAGAAATGAAAGTATGTACACACGGAGTACGGAGTACATACTACAGTTACTTCTTTCTACCTTCTCATTAGAAGGTATGTAATGTACGTACAGATAGAACTTAACTTACACCTCATCTGTTCTGCTTCCGGTATACTTGACTTCCTTTTTTTTGTTTTTCTCTCGCCATGTCAGCTCGTACCTTCTGACTCAGCCGACCTTTCTTTTTCTTTTTAATTTATTCTCGCTTCATCCCTCGCATGCATGCAACCCAATCCGTATAGATGGGATTCCCATCTCTTCCGAACACCTCCCCAAAAAACTGAGAGAAGAAATTACAAGAACATTGTTGACATAAAAGATCGAAGGTTCAACCTTCATACCTGGTCCAGGCATAATACAGATGGGTATGAATAGAATCCACCCCATCCAGGAGGATCTGCCGTGCAGTTGGGGGACGTGCGACAAATAAGAAATTTAGTTCCTCCGGACAGAACATGAATAGTACGTTGTTGGAACAAATTTGAGGGATCATTCTTGGCACCCTGAAAAGGGACAATTGCCTCGGTTGCAAATCAGTATCCAGTCTATCAGATCTCTCGATGAGGATCTTCTTATCACAGAGACAATTACAACTGCCTGAAGAATTAAGTAACATTGTCCATGCACAAGAGTCCCCGTATTTCAACTAACTCTCGCTAACGCTTGACTAGTGACCCTCCTGGTCATTCTCCACTATGTCAGCCGTTGTTTTCTTGACTAAATCTGGGTGCGGAGAACGCTACGGAGCCTACCGCTTGCTCACGATGCAACCCAAGCCATCACATGGGCTCGTCTCCTCTCTGTTGCCCTGAGTTCTACTCCCTATCCGAGGGAATACGCCAAAATGGAACGTCCCATTCTTCAGGACGATCAGTCGGCTTCCGACGGGAAGCGCTGCCTCAGGGGCTGGACGTCCTTGCGAGACCCTGCTATAAAGCTGGCCAGTTCTGCTCTGTTTCATGGACAGGAATTGAGATAGCGGAAGATAAGCTGCAGCTTGGTCAGCGATCTCGACCCCATATCAGACTAGGGACATGAGACCAGTTTTCTTCCTTGCGGCCCTGGCCTCCCTGGCTGGCACTCATGCTAATCCCGAGGCCGACTTGGCTGGAACGATTTGGGATGATTTCAAAGGAGCAGTCACCTGTGCTGGCTGTGAGGTATGTCGGAGAGGCATCAAACTATCTATGGAAGGCAAGATGAGCTGACTCTCGAAGGGCCTGCTGGGGGCGCTCAAACTAGTAGCCGGTCTAGGTCAAAATGCATTGGAACATGTTGTGACCGACGCGTGTAAGTTGGCAGGGGTAAGTAAATGCTTTTAGCGGAGTTCATAATGTGTGAAAATCTAAAGGATATCGGTTAATTCCTCTTGTCAGATCGAGGATGACGATGTTTGTGAGGGGGCAATCAAAGAAGAGGGCACGGCCGTTTATTACGCCCTGAAAAATCTGAAGGTCGGCTCGCATACATCCAAAACCTTCTGCTCAAGCATTGCCGGCCTTTGCGACTACCCCGATGTTCGGCCATATAACCTCACGTTCCCCGTAGCCAAGTCCTCGGTCACTCGTCCACCCCCGAGTGGCCAGTCTCCGATCCGTGTCGCACACATTAGTGACACGCACGTTGATTTGCAGTACACGCCAGGAGCCAGTGCACAATGCACCAAGCCTATTTGCTGTCGTAGTTTCACCCCGGAAGACGCGCCCGGTAACACCTCAACCCCGTGCGGGCTCTGGGGTGACCATCATTGCGATCCTCCAGTTCGTCTCGAAGACTCCATGATGGACGCTATCGCGGCCCTCGACCCAACGTTCTCCATCTACACGGGTGACGTCCCACCACACGACATCTGGCTTGTGAACCAGAGCTCAGTCCTACAGAGCTTCAACTCCACCTACTCCAACCTGGGGAAACTGGGCATTGTCTACGCGGCCCTGGGAAATCACGACGCAGCCCCGGTCAACCTCTTCCCTTCGGACAAAGTCCCGCCCTCTCACAACCCCCAATGGGCCTACGATGCCCTGGCCAGCGACTGGTCCAACCTCGTCGAAGGTTCACCCAGCTCAACCACCAAACATGGTTCATACTCTATCGTCCACCCCAATAGCAACCTCCGCATCATCTCCTATAACAGCGTCTTCTACTACAAATACAACTTCTACGCCTTCCAGGAACCAATGGAATACGACCCTGACAACCAACTTCACTGGCTTATCTCCGAACTGCAAGCCGCCGAGACTGCCGGCCAACGCGTCTGGATGATCGCTCACATCCCCACCGGCAACACCGACACCCTGCACGACTACTCGCACTACCTTGACCAGATCATCAACCGTTACAGCACCAGCATCGCCGCCCTCTTCTTCGGTCACACCCACACGGACCTCTTCCAGATTTCGTACACCAACTACACCGCCCGCACCGCTGACTCGGCCACCGCAATCGGCTACGTTACTCCATCCATGACCCCGGACTCGGGCGCCCCGGCCTTCCGCATCTACGACATCGACCCCGTCACCTTCGCCGTGCTCGACTACACCGTCTACACGGCCGACATCAACAGCACCGATTCCCCCAACACCCCACCTAAATGGGTCAAATACTACTCCGCCAAAGAAGCCTACGGCACCCTCCTGACCCCACCCGTCACCGACCCGAAGGTCGAAATGACCCCCTCCTTCTGGCACAAGGTAACAGCCCAAATGGAGAAGGATGACTCCGTCTTCCAGGCGTGGTGGTCGCGCACCACGAGAGGTTACAATGTCACGGAGTGCTCGGGCGAATGTGCAAAGAATAAGATTTGCTCCCTACGCGGCGGAGATGCACAGTTCAACTGCGAGGGCCCGGGGACGCCGTTTAGTATTACGAAGCGGAGTGATGGTGTAAGCGAGGTGCATGTGGAGAGGCCCTTCTGTGAGGATGCCGTGTTGGCGAGGATCGTGGGAGGTTTGGCACGGAAGGGCGTCGATGCGGAGAAGTTTGTTCGGGAGCAGGCGAAGCTTTATGAGAAGGTCTAGGTTGACTAGGAGCGAGTTTAGTCTCTGTATGACGTTGTTGATATCTTGGTAGTATATATAATGTTGAGTGTTTAATGATCTACCTTCGGAAGCATTGACTCTGGGACTTTGTCTGGAAATGGTCTGCTAGTACCACCAGCCCATATTCCAGAGTATATATTGAAAAAGGAACCAAGCGTAACCTGGTGGTCTCTGTATTACCCTACTCGTTTGACTAGTGAACACGGCGTCTACGGGGGACACATGTCAGGCGCATGTGTGGAACTTGCAATAAACCTTTTTATCATTGTTCCCGAACCATTGCTACCTAATGCGCATCAGATAGAATACCCGATTCCATCCAAATGGCAATGCGCCAATCCCAGTGTCGTGGTATCATGTCATGGACCAGATGCGTCCTGCGTGCTGCTTCTTGTGCGTCGAATGTAAATGTGGTTTTAAATAACCCGAGAATATCTATGAACATAGCTCAAATACTCCATGTGGAGCAAATGGTGTAAAATGTATCAAAACGAATGTGGAGAAGGTTAAGAGGAGAAAAGGGGGTATGGATATCGACGAAGCGAAACAACAAAAATCAAGTAAAGAGCCAGAAGAAGCAGCTAGCACTCAACGCATTTACTGAATGAACCACTCAACATCGTAGAGACGGCCCTCATCTTCGGAAGCCAGGGAATTGAAGAAGTGGCGCGACAGATCAATTGAGGTGCTGTCGCAACCCATGCACTTGTCAACGACCTTGCCGGAAGCGACCTTGCCGTTGTAGTGAACGGTCACCATGCGGCCGCAGTCGCTGGGCTTCATCATGCCGACGGGAAGGGCCAGGACATCCTCGGTGCTGCCATCATTGGTGTATCCGCAGCTGCTAGGGGCGAGTGAAGAGGTGGCAGTGTCGTAGAAGGTGACCTGACCCTTGCACGGGGAGCCCTGGGAGCAGGTGCCGGTGTATCCGCTACCGCTGGGGCTGCTGGCGGTAGGCTGAGGGGCAGCAGAGGTAGTGCTAGACGATGTCGGGACCACGACAGGAGGGGTGCTGGTGGTGGTGGGCTCTGGCTGCTCGGTAGGCTCCGGCTGCTCAGTAGGTTCCGGAGTGGGAGTAACAGAGATAGTGGGCGCAGCCGGGGTGGGAGTCCAAACTGGCTGAATGGTTGCAGACTGCTGAGGCTCAGGAGCCTCACTCTCCTCAGACTCGTTAGAAACCTCGGCGGGCTGGGAAGGTTCAGGAGTCACGACGGGATCCGAGGACGCAGGGACGGAGACAGTGGGCTGAGCTGGAGTCTGGACAGGTCGATCCGTGGTGATGGTCGTGGTGACCGTCACGGTAGTCCATTCGACTGTAGTGCGGGTGCTCACAACAGCATCCTGGCGCTTTTGCACAGGAGCGGTCGAGGCGACGGCGGCGAAAAGGGCGCCGGCAAGGGCGAGAGTCTTAGCCAGAGGAGCCATTGCAGGTATGATTGATTGATCAGAGAGAGACTGATATCTTGTTTTTCAAGGAAGGTTGTGATCGGCGAGCCGATGACGACGACGAAGTCAATTGAAGGAATGATTCAATTTAACCAACTGCGCAGCAGGTTGGGGAAGTGAATGAACACTCGGAAAGAATGAGAGTGCGGTTGAAGGAAAGAACGACAGAAAGCTGTCTAAGAGAGAGAAGACTGTGGTGAGTATCGGTAACGAGAGGGAGAGAGAGGGGAGAACAGGTAAGGGAGGGAAGGCCGAAGTATTTAAACGAGGTGTACGGAGGACATGGATGGTAACTTACCTACTCGGGTAGGCACGACTAGCCTCGTATAGAAGGGACTAGCATCCATACTAGTCCTTTCTTTGTTTTCTGTCTGTTTTATTTTATTTTATGATTTTTATGTATTTTGACTTTTACTTTTACTTTTTAGGTTTAATTCTTTACAAAAAAGGAATTTTTATCATTGGTATGGACAGTGGACAATTCAGGAACCCAGCGAATGAATCCAAGTTCATCAGATACAGCCCTCCGCTAAGTGGATCCTTTTCTTAGCCCCCCGGACCCACCGCACAGCTCGTGAACCCATGGGATGGATCAAATATTGTGGCTATGGGCTGCGATGCTCACTTGCTCACTCCCTCACCACTTTTAATTAATTAATGAGTACTTCGGTTCCACTCGCCCTGAACCTCAACCGTTGGGTTGGGATGATGATCTTAACTTCTCCAAATGTGGTGAGTTCCTTCTCCTTCCTACGAGATACGACGGCATGTACTCCGAGTATGGATGTTCTGATCATTTTCCCTTGCATTGATCTGGGAAATCCGGAAGAAAACAAATACAAAAACAAAAACAAACAAACGATCGATTCATGCGCAAGTGACCAATGCTACATTCATTACTCACCGGCACTTTTGACCTGTCAGCGACCGGATGACGTGTGGTTCACCTCCGACTCAAAAAGCAAGTGTCCGAATAATCCGAAAGGTAGATAGATACGGAAAGTTTGGTGGTTGAATTTCAATTCAGGTACCCGCTCTCAGAGCAATTTTCCATTTGGTCTGATTTTGAACTGATTGGCGGTGCAAGATTGGCGCCGGTGTTACAGCGTGTACACTCTATACCCATTTCAGTGATGATTTTTGTTCCTAAATCTTGTCTAGCTCACTTTAGTGTAGGCTTGGTATTGAATTTAGGTTTTTTTTTTTTTTTTTTCTTTTTTTCTCTCTTCTCTCCCCCCTTACGGTCCCTCCATTCCTTAGTCTCTTTCCCTTTTGCCTTCGGGTCCCAGAGGGGGGGATCAGCGCTCGCTCGCTCGCTGTCCGAAATGACGATGGTACCTGACCTCCGCCACACTCTCTAACTTTCACCTATTTCCGGTGTGGCTTTGCCCTCGTGCTCGTGAAGCGAGAAGGAAAAATAAAATAACGTAAAATAAAAATAATTCAAAAGAGAGAGAAATTGCCAACCTTTTCCGATGACCTTTTATCGTTTGAGTCTTACGGAGAACTCGGCTGAACAGAAAGATTTATCAGACATTCATTCGTCAACTGTCCTAAACCAAGAATGAACAATTGAAGCGAAAGGAAGCGAGCAGAGATTTTGACCCAACCCTCTCAGCAAGTCATGGATACTCGGATGCAATGAAAAAGAAACGGGCCCTTCTGACGTGGATACATGGTTGTCAATGCGCCGTCCAATATCATTCTTTCCCGACAACACACTGTCTCTTCCAACGGCTTTGTGCAATTGGGGTCTTTTCTTCTTCTCTCATTCGTGAATACAATTGGACCCTCCGAAGTCCAGACCTCTCGTTTTTTTTCTAAGCTATACTCGTATTAGTAGTATGGAAAAAGAAAAGAAGAGATGCAACCCTAATGGGGCGGCGTTTTGACTCTTGACTGAGTAGTCTTAATCCCCCCCCACCCCGAGCACTGGACTTAATCGACTCGGTTCTTTCAGGTACTAACGCCACCCGCAAGATAAAATGTCAACAGCGCCTTTCGGAGGGCTTTTTCTTTTATTTACTTATTTCTTTAATATATTTTTTTTTGTTTTGCGGGGAAAGGGGAGAGACTGTTGTTGGACAAAGAGGGGAGATTCTGTGTCCCTGCATGGTTTCATAGCGATTCAGACCAGAACTTTCGACTCCGGCTTACGATATCTACCGCTGAGTAGGAGGGGAAAAAAAAAGAGGAGAACATCGGCATCTATCCTGTCATCAAGTCCTTCCATGCATGTATGCCTTGTGAGAATCAGATGTTATTCTGTGGGCGCCGCGAACTCCACCAGTCTAGGCCCTAAGCCGGGACCAGATTTAATCTATCTTCACCCCATATGTAGATTGAATCTGGTCCCTAGCCCTACGGAGTATGTTATCGGTCCCTCAAGATTAGATGGGAACCACCGAATCCATAATATCCGCTTTTAAGGGCAATGGCTGGGGAAACAGAAAACGAAAGTGAAAAAAGAATACAAGTTAAAATAAAATCACACAAAAATACCTCGTACAAAAGCCCCATGCATGTCACATCTGATATCATATCCCCCCGTTGCCCGACCCCCAGTCTCATCTCACTCTGACCAGGCACAACCGTAAGCGGCACGGGTGAATGTTAGGTTGTTAAACTAATGTGTACCCTTTGAGAGGACGACACATCACAATAACTTGAAAGGACTCAAGCTAGAGGGAATACGAGCAACCCTGTACGACTGGGAAAGGCAACGAATGCAGAGTCATACGTCTAGACCCCGGTACATCTGTCTGCCGTCGTGTTCGGGGCCTCACCGTGGAAAGAGACTAATCGGGTTCAGGTGGGAAATGTTGTCAAGATCCATCACTTCGGGTATTGTCTAGTATTGGACCTAGTGGCAACTGGTACGGTGACATTCGATGCATAAGTTAGGGCAGGGAACCCCCCTCTTCTTTTAGGACTAGCACTAGGAAATTTTCTCCTCGCTAGGGTTTGGCGACGGCGGACTTTACTTGATTAGGTACATACTTCGAGTACGGGAATTACCTGGTGAATACGGAGTACTCCGGAGCACCTAGGTAAAAGGAAGACACATCTAGAAAAAAGCAAGTCAAAGTATGCGGACATTGGAAGAGTCTCTAATCTCTCTTTCTCTTCTCTTTTCTTTTCTTGTTTTTTTTTTCTTTGACCAATGCGTATACTTATTCACACAATGAACCACACGCTCCTGATCTAGATAATAGCACTGCCGTGTTTCACTTTTGGAAGTTACGGGGATATAATACTATCAGGTATGATCCTCGGTATCTTGTTCCAGGACTACTACCACCTCTGTTGCTCGACTGTATACCGGAGTACTAAAGTGCATACAACAAGGGAGACACTCATATGACTTGTGCTACGGCAGATCCCTTGTTATGGGTAGTACTAGACGGTACAGCTCATTTTCTCCCTCCACCAATGATGGAGGGACCGTAGGCGATTCACGGCTCATCATGTAACAGTACCTCGACCTAGGTCGGCAAGTCGCTTCAATGTCCTGGGAGCAAGGCAATGGCAGTCTCCTACTACATCTGGTCCGGATTGCATGATACAAGAAATCCCCATGAATAAATCACAAACGTTAGATTCCTAACCATTCTATCTAAGTCACATTTTTGCCATTAAGACCGTCCCAGGACGTTGAAAATAAAGAGACAAACCAGTCAAGGTTTTTCTTGAAGTACATGCACGTCAGAATAGCAAAACCACGAAATAAACAGTAGAAAATAAATCAATACCCAGTATCCATCGAACTCATGATATCAATGCGTACAAACAAAACGTCAGATCCATACCCGCGCGCCTATTGCAAACCCAATCATTATATAGAATATGTTCAACCCTGGCACATGACGCAGGCTTCCTTGTTCTCAATGCTACATTGGAGGACCTTCTGGGAATAGATATCATTCTCGCGCTCCTCGCTCGTCTTCTGGTCATCCTCGCTCTGGGGTTCGCCGTTGGCGGCCTCTTCCGCACGTGGGTTGGGCTCAACAGACCCATTGGCCTGTCCGTTGGTCTCGCTTGTGGGGGAGCGAGGGACAGCAGAGTACGTGTTGGATGCAGCGCCCACGGCCCGCTTCCGGAAAGAAGCATTGGCCCGAGCGACGTTGGTATCAGCAACCTTGAGGGCCTCCTGGTCCACAGTGAACTGGATGGGAGCCGAGGCAGCCATGGTACGCAGGTAGTACATGCCGGTCTTCAAGCCCATCTTCCAGCCAGCGAAGTGCATGCTGGTGATCTTACCCATAGTCGGCTCCTTGAGATGGATGTTAAGAGACTGGGACTGGTCAATGTAGGCACCACGGTCCGCAGCCATCTGCAAGATCGAACGCTGGGAGATCTCCCACACGGTCTTGTAGAGGGCCTTGATGTCCGCGGGGATGTTAGGGATGTTCTGGACGGAGCCACCCTCGGCAATGATACGGTTCTTCATGTTGTCCGACCACAGACCAAGGTCGACCAAGTCCTTGAGAAGCCAAGGGTTAACGACCTGAAACTCACCCGCAAGGACACGGCGGGAGTAGATGTTCGAGGTGTATGGCTCGAAGCACTCGTTGAAGCCCAAAATCTGACTGGTGCTTGCGGTCGGCATAGGCGCCACTAGCAAGCTGTTGCGCACGCCGGTCTGCGCGATCTTCGCCTTGAGAGCGTCCCAGTCCCAGAGATCAGTTGGGGTCCGGTCCCACATGTCGTACTGAAGAATGCCCTGGGAGACGGGGGAGCCTTCATATGACTCGTAAGTTCCGAAGTCCTTGGCCAGGTCAGATGAAGCAGTCAAAGCTCCATGGTAGATGGTCTCGAAGATTTGGGTGTTCAGCTGCTTCGCCTCGGCCGAGTCGAATGGCAAACGAAGGGCAAGGAAGGCATCAGCCAGACCATTGACACCAAGAGCAATGGGGCGGTGACGCATGTTGCTGTTCTTAGCCTCAGGGACAGGGTAGTAATTGATATCGATGATCTTGTTCAGGTTACGGACCAGCACCTGCACTACTTCGTGGAGCTTGCCAAAGTCGTATTCACCCCGGGTAGCATCAACGAAGGTGGGCAGGGCAAGAGAGGCGAGGTTGCAAACAGCAACCTCATCCGGAGCAGTGTACTCAATGATTTCAGTACAGAGGTTGGAACTGCGGATTGTTCCCAGGTTCTTCTGGTTGCTCTTTTTGTTACAGGCATCCTTGTACAGCATGAAAGGATTTCCAGTCTCGGTCTGGGCCTCCAGAATAGCATACCAGAGCTTCTGGGCCTTGATAGTTTTGCGGCCACGACCCTCCTTTTCGTATCTACGCTCTTGTCAGCTTGGGCTTCTGATTTGGAATAGAAAAGGAGTAAATCTAACCTTTCATAGAGCGCTTCGAATTCATCACCATAAACATCGGCCAAGCCAGGGGCCTCGTTAGGACAGAAGAGAGTCCACTCACCGTTGGCCTCAACTCGCTTCATGAACAAGTCCGGAGTCCAGAGGGCATAGAAGAGATCGCGGGCTCTCACTTCCTCCTTACCGTGGTTCTTGCGGAGGTCTAGGAACTCGAAAACATCGGCGTGCCAAGGCTCCAAGTAGATAGCAAAAGCACCTGGACGCTTGTTTCCTCCCTGGTCCACATATCTGGCAGTGTTGTTGAACACCCGGAGCATAGGAACAATACCATTGGAGGAACCGTTGGTACCACCAATGTAGGAGCCGGTAGCACGGATACGGTGCACATTGAGGCCGATTCCACCAGCGGTCTTAGAAATCAATGCACATGTCTTAAGCGTGTCATAGATACCTTCGATGCTATCCTCCTTCATATCGACAAGGAAGCATGAAGCAAGCTGAGGCTGAGGGGTACCAGCATTGAACAAAGTCGGAGAGGCATGGGTGAAATACTTCTGAGACATCAAGTGATAGGTCTCGATGGCCTTCTCAATGTCATTACCATGAATACCAACAGAAACACGCATCAAAAGGTGCTGAGGGCGTTCAGCAACCTTTCCATCGATCCGCAGCAAGTATGACCGCTCAAGAGTCTTGAAGCCGAAAAAGTTGTAGTTGAAATCGCGGTCGTACACAATTGCTGAGTTGAGTTCGTCGGCATGTTTCATTACTATCTCGTACGTTTCCTTTGATATCATTGGGGCAGGGTTCTTATTCTTTGGGTTGACGTAATGGTATAGGTCTGAGATAACCAGGGAGAATTGCTTCTTTGTTTGCTTGTGAAGGTTCGACACAGCTATACGAGCAGCAAGAATGGCGTAGTCTGGATGTGTGGTAGTCATGTATGCCGCAGTCTCAGCAGCCTACACAAGCCCATCAGTACATCGCATCGGTTTATCTGCGGAGCTGCGGAGCCATACCAAGTTGTCAAGTTCAACAGTGGTGACACCCTGGTAGACACCAGAGATGACCTTCTGAGTGATAGCAGCAGCGTCAACATGCTCGGGGTCAAGACCATAACATAGCCTCGATACACGAGCAGTAATCTTGTCAAACTGCACGCGTTCTTTGCGTCCGTCTAATAATTGCAGTTTGTTAGCAGATGTTCAACTTGGTGGCAAAGGTTCGGATGAAACACGACTAAAGCCCCATTTGGGGGCATAGCACAGGCTTAGATCCGAACCTAGAAAGATAGGACTAAAGGACATCAACGCGTACCTCTCTTGTAGACAAACATTTTGACGTGTAGAGGGGAGAGCTCGGAAGATACGTGAAGAAGACGATAAGAAACAGGGTATAATAGTATTAATGAACGGATGAAGTACTAAGGCTCTGGAATGAGAAAAGCAAAGGCAAAGTCGTTTTAAGATAAGAAGGGAAGCCCTGAGGACTGAAGTGAAGAGGGGATGAGAAGAAGAAAAGAAGTAGGAGGGGCAGAGAGTCCAACAGATATTTGATGCTGCCGGGACCAACAACGCGTTGACGGTGGATATCAACGCGAATTTTCGTGTTTGGACCAAGTAAATGGGTCTCCCTTACTTAAGCATCGAACCCCGAAGAACCCGCCATCTCACGTGATCGTGATGCTTTCGTCACGCCACGCGAATGACGAAATTCCGCTCTCGCTATGATACGGATCTACGAATTTGCGGTACTCTTAGGTATACTCTCTTCAACCCTTATAACTGACGTTAGATCTATGGCCTATCGGCGGAATCAGAAATCTAGACTCGGATCAAGGGTCACACAATAGTTACAAGAAGGTTGATTTCCTTACTATCTGTCGGGAAGGAGCATACAGCCTCCTTATAGTTATTGCAACGCACCCTTACATGACGGAGATTGGCCTCAATATACAATTGGCACAAATGATGGAACAAGAATGGAATCAAGTCATTCCACCCGATACCCGGTACTCACTGCGCAGCTGAGTAGAACGATTCGAAGGTTGATCACCCTTACAACGTAGCGGCGAAGCCGACAAAGACAACTGCAGCAAAGGCAGCAGCGGGAATATGCCTATCAGACGAGCCAGCATTGGAGGTATGAAGAGGTACTCCGGAAGAAGAGGTCGAGCTGGGGTTAGGTTCAGAGCCGGAGCCGGAGCCAGAGTTAGAACTAGAATCAGAGCCGGAGGTAGGGGAACTAGAGCTGGAGTCGGAGCCGGGAGTGCTGGTAGCGGTAGCAGTGACAAAGCCGGAGCTGCTCGACTTGGAACCGGCAGTAGAAGTACCGGTGGAAGAGGCGCCCGAGGAGGTCGAGGTATTAACGACTGGGGGAGAGATATTAGCTCATATGAATCATGTCCTCAGTATCAGCAGTCTACCATGGACATACCGACTTTATGTCCAGCAGAGGAGCAGGTGTCAGCGAACTGCTTCAGAGCATCCTGCTTGTCATCACCGCTGCACAGGCTCTCGATTCTGGTCTGCACTTTATCAACACAGACGGCTTTGAGATCACCGGGGCTTGGTTCCGTGCTAATAGACTTGTCAGAAATGAACATTTTTCCGGTTACTAGTATAAGCGTACCTGAGAGCCTCAAGAAGGCAAGCCTTAGTGCCTGCCGCGGCGGCAATGTTGCCGAGGGCCAAAAAGGACAAGACAAAAGCAGACTTGGCGAACAACATGACGGCGGAACAAAGTAGACGTTTAGGGGTAAGGATTGTAATTGAACTGTCGAGTTTGGGGTGCTGTGTAAAAAACAAAAAGACTGACTAGAATAAATTTGAAGCTAAAGAATGGACTGGAGGTGAGAAAGGAGTGACAGCTTGCGAGAAAGAGTGACAGGCGAAGCGATGGAAAGAATGGAATGATAGATGATCTTGAGTTCGAGCAGCGGAATGGAAATTTAATGGAAGAAGAGAAAGTGAAGAGGGGACCTGTCTCACCCAATCAGGCATCGACCCTGCCGATCCTTTTCCTGGCCCTGAGATCATGTCTGGGACTCTGGGGTGGTTCTCATTTCCAATCGTTCCCTTGCAAATTTTATTGTACGGAACTATCAAATTTAAGTGGGTCCCCTTATTGTTTTTGTGGTTAAGTATCGGGACTCGATTGGTGGAGCTTCCCGGCAGTCCTGCCATCCGTTGTAACGAATGTAATCTCAAAACTTCTTCCATCTGTATTACTACTTAAAGCCCAAGTCTAGAACATTAGATCATGTTCCTTACCACTTGAAGTAGTACTAGTCGTCGTCCCTAGAAATTCAGTGAAATTCAATGCTGCAAGTAAGATATTAGGAGAATGGTGGTATAAATATATACCGCATGCGACTCCCTAAAGGACAGCCTGTGGGCAATACTCTGTACTACTAATGTATGTACATACATTCTGCATCTTTTAAGTTAAATTGATGGGTTATCAATACAGTACCAAGTTAATCAAGTAACCTTGTCTCAGTCCTTTTATTATCCTAAATTTATCCAACAGCTAGCAATAAGCTAAAGTAATAAGTGGCCAGACTCCGTATGCGTCTAATTATAGTATACCCGCTATGTGTAATGTTTTCTATCCCTCTTCCATGAGGTTTTCTTTAAAAGGGAACGCTGTAAGATGAGTTATGCTTCAGTCAACCATCTGTTCTCATACCGCACCGAAAATTCACCCCCAAGACCCATCAGTCACCGGTCCCAATTAGGGTCATAACGACTTGTAATTATCTCCTGAACGGGCAACCTATAGTCCACGATTTCCCGGCCATTTACAAGGTCATTTTCTGTCGCTCGTTTATCTGCCTCGGCTTCATTCTTTGCGATACCCGCCTTGACGTGCCTCCGAACCAACCTCTTTCGAGCGGTTTCGAATTCAACATCCACAAACCAAAGCTCATCCATTAGTTGTGCCGCCTTATTCCACGGCTCTTTATTTAAACTCAGGTAATTCCCCTCGAAGAAAATAACCCTACACGTGGCGGGGATGGCAATATCATCATCGACAGGATCTTTAACTGCATGATCAAAGCTTGGCGCGTACAAGCTTTGGGTCTCCAGCGTCAACTGCTCCCGCAGAGCCTGGACTAATTTCAAGAATTTCTCCCCGTCAAAAGTGAATGCTGCACCCCGTCGCGCAGCAGCATACACCGGGTCGGGCATTTGAGCGAGTTGCGCCCGTGTAAGATGATACCCATCCATCGGGATAGCAGTCGCGATAGGCGGTGAATTGGGATGCTGTGCCGTGTAGAGTTGGTTGATGCGGTTTGCCATCATGCTGGCAAGTGCTGTCTTTCCGGAGCCCGGTATGCCACTCACTGCTATCATCAACCGAGAATCATCTGGCGTAGATCGGGTTTTATCTTAAGAAGAGCCATTAGTAATCCATTGGTGTAAGAATGTTTTTTTTTTTTTTTTCGATCATCGAAAGTTCAAGGTTAGACGTTCTTGCTGTGCAATATGCGTCATGCCGAGCGACTTACCCCAGATCTTATCGACTAGTCTGTCTACCTGGATATCCATGATTGCCTTTATATCTATAGATCCAGAGTGGATTTTGGAGTGGAGGGAAGATACTAGTCGTATAGAAATCACTCCAGATACCCCGGGTCGTGGCTCATGCAGATAAACGTTGCAAAGTACTTCAGCAAGGACGCGAGAAAACGAGTAGGCTAATTCATTCAAAACAGATCCAGGGCCTTCAAAGGTATTCCTTGGGATCAATGTGTGAATGTATCAATGCAAAACGGTAATACTAGTTGATGTGATGGACAAAGAAAAGCTCCGTGGTCCATCGAGATAAATAGAGGCAGTCGGCGGGGCTTGTCATCGAGTGGGGTTTTGCGATCTGTACGGAGAGGTAACTTACGCACATACCGGCCCTACGTCACAGGGGTCGTTTTCCCCATCCCAAGTCACAAGGTTACAACAGGTACGTAAGGTAAGCAGGCACCACTACCATTTCCAGTACCATGTTTATCTCAGGCACAAAACAATACCTTTGTCAAACTTAGACCAAGCTTTAGAAACAACCTAGTTACTTTCTACATCTTAAAACGACAGCCTTGTCGAATTCTAGTTCATGCCATCATCAGCGTTGCCCACTGTTCAATGACTTCTGACTGAAGCTGTACAACCTGGAAATGCAGGTTATGTACTATGTATGCAGAATGCCAGACGATGAGAATTATAGACAAACGCCCTCGTAAGTTGCCCGTAGATCTTGCTTCCATCCTGATGCCAAGAAACAAAAGGCTGCTGAACCTCAAAAATCGAAAGAAACATAACCCAAATAAATATAGAGACCCGAACAGATATAGGGGAATAAACAAATGATCATCCCATGATAAGTGCTTCCAGCCACTGTAAGGCAACCCGCAAACTGTGTATTTTGGAAGAAAACACCAAGAACGCCGAACGTGATATCCTTCCTGCTTAACCCATTTACATCGACATGACTGCCCCTAACAAAATGGAAGGGATGAAAGGCTCAATAATTAACACAGAATCAGAAAGAAAGAAAAAATTTAGGTTCTTCACTGCTGCTGTCTGGACAGCCCATCAACTGCATCAGTATTGCTGGTACCGTCGTTTGCGCTGACCCCTTGGCCGATGGTCCGAGACAGTCCAGCTGCTGTCCACAAGTCATCAGGGACATCCTCTCGACGGGCAAGCCGGTCCAAGATAGCTTGCATATGTTGAAGGTCCGGGTCTATGGAGTTGGAGATTGCTAATGAGATCGCAGGAAGCGGAGGTTGGCTACTCATAGTCGAATGTGCATTACGTGCACGCCTCCTGGCATCCCTCCTGGCGTTAATTTCGCGTATTCGGCGATAGTGATAATGGAACAATGAGTTCTGGGTGGCCTCTGCCTCAGAGTCGGAGTCGGAGTCAGTTGAAGTGGAATAGTCACACGGATTGAGAAACTCCGGGTAAGGGTCGAGGACCATCTGTACAGTTGCGGCAGTTGAGTCCATGGAATTTGGCAGTGTTCCAAAAGAAGTTGCCGAGCTTCGTGCCGTTCCATTCATTGAAGCGTTTGTGCCCGCAGACGCTGATGTGAACGAGGAGTCCGCGCTAGGAAGATTGGTGTCCGGCGTGATAGTAGTCAAGAGTGTTTCCCAGGCATCGTTCGCATTGTCACCATCTGGGCTTACACTCCGCTGGCGATCTCCAAGGCCGTCGACGACAGTCTGGGAGTTTGGGCGGTTTGGTTGATTAATAGGCCGTTGACCAACCCGCCGTAACAGTGGAATAGTCGAACCAATCGAGGAATCTCCACCAAAGGCTTCCGACCGAGGAAATGGCGCCAAGCGGACGTCGGGAGGCGCCTGGGGGGATGCGGTCCTGTGGTACGCAATTGCCGGGGCGAATCGAGGAGTAAAGGATGGGGGCGGGTGATCTTGTTCCTGTCGAGCACCCCCATGGTCACCAGCCGCTGCGCGCAAGTATATGTCGTCTAACACAGTATTACGCGGTATCCTCAATCTCTGGCCGGGACGACTGTGACGAAGAACATCGTTGAGTAGGCGCTGACCTGCTTCTCGTGCGCTGGAATCCGACAGACCGTTGGTCAGATCGAATGGATCTTCACCAGAGCCGGAGTTCGGGATAGGAGAGCGTACATGGCGCGAGAGTCCATTAGCTTCACGTTCAATCTCGTTCGCTAGCGGACGGGGAAACGGCGAGCGCAAAGTCGCGCTGCGCAAAGCGGAGCTACTGTAACGTGAAGGGCGCCGGATAGTGGTCTGGCGACGAATTGCAGAACGTGCGGCGGCACAAGGGTCTTTGACAGGATTGTTCTTTGCAGCCTCTGTGGATGAAGGCTCACGGTACATACTGCAATTATGTTAGTCATGATCGCTATACCGTGCACGATGAGTACCGCGTAAAGACCCGAATAAGGCCAAGTACAGATACAGAACTGGACAAACTTACGGTATACCCATGACTACAAAACACCCAAGACTTTATTGTACGAAGATTAGTGTCAAAGATACCCTCTAGAAGAGACACCACGCCAAGACCACGATAAGAGTGTCGCGAAATTGAAAGAAAGAAAGTGCGACGATTGCGGGGAGGGTGCGACGAAGCGTTGTGTTGATGGAGAAACGGGGAGATTTGGTTTTCCTTGTAAGGGTAAAAAGCGGAGGCAAAGGGACTTGCCTTAGGCCGTCTGGAGCGCTTCGAGAGAGAGAGGCTGGGATGTGGCGCCACTAGTGGCGCCAATACCCATCTGCGTACAATCCAGTACGGTCCGCCTCGGAGTTCGAGAAAGTTTCCCGTTTCCCGACTTAAAACGCCGTTCTTATCTCTCACCGGAAATCCGATAGATAACCGCGCGAAATGACGCCGAGTGATTTTTGAAAGAACTATGCAATCCCCAACCCCTCCCAACTAGCGACCACACAGATGTCGTCCTTCTCAGAGAGATACTCCCGATCATGAGATTGACCTTGACTAGCTGCCAGAAAACATATAATCGGAGGAATGATCGAGCTCGGTCTTAGTCGCATATCCCGTCTCCTTCAGCAGACGCCTTTGACCTGGAAGGCCATCCACATCGCTGGGACAAATGGCAAAGGCTCGATCAGCGCTTACTTGTCTCACCTATTGACTTCCGGTGGAGTTCGCTGTGGCCGCTTTACCTCACCTCACCTGATAGACCGATGGGATTGCATCACCATCGGTGAAAGTGTGGTCCAAGAGTCTTTATTCCGGCAGATTGAAGAAAAGATTAAGTTGCGGGATCAAACATTGGGCATTGGAGCAAGCGAGTTCGAGTTATTAACTGCCACGGCATTCGAGATCTTTAATCATGAACGGGTTGATATTGGTGTGGTTGAGGTGGGCATGGGCGGTCGGTTGGACGCTACGAATATACTGAACAATGTGCTTGTATCTATCATCGCTAAAATAGGCCTGGATCACCAGTCGCTGCTTGGAGACACCCTAGAAGAGATCACTCGGGAGAAAGCCGGTATCTTGAAGCGGGGGGTTCCTTGCGTGGTCGATGGAACGAACCTACCAACAGCCCTCTCGACTATTGAAGAGCGTATCAAGGAACTTGGCATCGATGCTATTTACACTCGCCCCGATGCGCCGGATGGGTACTCATCGGCGCTTAGTCAGCTTTTCCAGCAACATGATGTACAGCCTCACCAGCGGGCGAATATGTGTTGCGCAATCTCAGCTTTAAAGCTGGCCCTCCGGAGAGTCCGTCCAGACATCAGGGTTGATGCTTTGGTTTCTCAGCTCTCTCGTGTTGAGTGGCCAGGACGTCTACAAGAAATCGTGCTAAATCCTATGGTTGCTCGCACAGACTCTGTCCTCCTCGATGGCGCTCACAATAGCCAGTCAGCCGAAGTCCTCGGGCAATACGTGGACTGTAAGCTTCGACCTCAAGGGAGTCCTGTCACCTGGGTCATCGCAGCATCACGTGGGAAAGACATAGCCTCATTATTTCACCCTATAATCAAGGCTGGTGATAATGTTGCAACTACTGCGTTTGGGCCCGTCGACGGTATGCCCTGGGTCAAAGCAAATGATCCCCAGGAATTGGCCTCCAGTGTGCAGTCTATTTCGGCAATCGGAGATGTGAAATCATTTGATAACGACATACTTTCTGCCATCAATTGGGCCTGTAGCAAGGCCAATGGCGGTCCCATGGTTATTGCTGGAAGTCTTTACCTTGTTTCAGATGTTCTCCGTCATCTTCGAGAGGCGCAGAAACAGTCAGAAAACACCACTGAGTTGTGATAGTTCTATAACCGAAGATACCCTTCTAGCGCCTGGACCTCTCTATACATGATTGACACAGACTCAAGGCCCTCCTTGGAATTGAAATTAAGACCATTTTCTTTCTTACATAGACAAAGTGTAATATATAAATGGCATAGCTCCATTCTTTTTTTCCTTGTTCTTTTTCTTCTTTAGTTCAATTATTCCTGGAACAGCCGTGACAGCAGTCATAAGATAGTAGCAGCATGTAAAGGACAGTGCACATTCCTCGGGGTCCGATAAGGCTGATCGGAGATACAGAGGCGGTCACTGCGTCATGGCAAACTGGTGGTGGCCTGAATTGTGGAGAAAGGGAAAGTTCAAAACACCCTCCAATTTGTTGCGTTTGGTTCACCCGATACAGCAGTATGTTATAATTTCTTTTTTTGATCACTGTTCTGAAACTTATTGTGCAGTTGTCTATCAAGTAGGTTGAAAATTCTGACCTCAAAGAGAGCTGCAGGAATCTGATGTGTGCAGTGACGCGCTTGGTTCACGCGGGTTGATGGGTGTGAGAGCAGTAATCTATCTGTACGTTCTTTTTTCTAAGCCGTACTCATACCATCTCTTTTCTGGCATTATTGGCTTCCTTCTCCCTATTCATATGCTTTATAACTCTGTTGTCAACTCTCACTAATGATGTGTCGTCTCGAAAGACAGGTTTTGCTGCTGATATGAACAATACTCTCCGATCGCCTGGCTCCTGCCTTCAGCCGTCCCGTTCCTCTCCTGAAACCGCAAGGTCCGAGATTACCTGTCAACATCGGTGAATCCAGACTTCATCTGACGAGGGGATTAATCCATATTGGTTTGGATGATGGTTTCTCGATGCAGTGGGGGGATTGAGGGGGCCCCTCCATCTTCTAAACCACAGAGTGCTCCTGCCAAAGCACGACTGGCAAGACTCGGGTCCAGTCCATCAAAACGAGATGAAAGGCCGAAAGATGACAGAGTGGCGAAAACCACAGCCAAGGATGTTGCAGAACTGAAGGATTACGTATGATTGTGATTCCAGACGTTTAGTGAAATGAGTTACTGACGCTGACATACGGTAGCAACTGGGTGATTGTTTGGGTAAAGGCGCATTTGGATCGGTCTACAGGGCATTGAACTGGAATACCGGGGAAACTGTTGCTGTAAAACAGATAAAATTGGTCGACCTCCCAAAAAGTGAATTGCGTGTCATTATGGTAAGATAAGAGCATCCTGGCAATGAATATACGCCATTACTAATCTAGAGTTCTGCAGCTGGAAATTGATCTTCTGAAGAATTTGGATGTAAGCTTCAATTTTTGAGGGATACGCAGGCCTGAACCCTGGTAGAAAACTAACTCAACGACTGCAGCACTCCAACATCGTGAAGTACCATGGATTTGTAAAGTCCGCTGAAACTCTAAACATCATACTTGAGTACGTTTTACTGAGCCTCTACAAGATGGGCTCCAGGGCAAGGGTTGCTGACAGACTCAGATACTGTGAAAATGGCTCCTTACATTCAATTGCAAAGAATTTCGGGCGTTTCCCAGAAAACCTGGTAGGATTATACATGTCACAGGTCCTCCACGGTCTCTTGTATCTCCATGAGCAAGGTGTCATACATAGAGATATCAAAGGCGCGAATATTCTCACGACTAAACAAGGCCTTGTCAAGCTTGCGGACTTCGGTGTTGCTAGCCGGACTACTGGGCTCAATGAATCAAGTGTTGTCGGCACGCCATATTGGATGGCCCCGGAAGTGATTGAACTGTCGGGTGCAACGACAGCCTCAGACATCTGGAGTCTTGGTTGTACGGTGATTGAGCTGCTGGAAGGGAAGCCTCCTTATTACAATCTCCAGCCAATGCCGGCTCTTTTCCGCATTGTCAATGATGATCACCCTCCCCTTCCGCAGGGCGCCTCTCCGGTCTGTCCCCTGTTGTCAAAATATCGTTTCGTGTCTAACAAACACCACAGGCTGTCAAGGATTTCTTAATGCAGTGCTTCCAGAAAGACCCGAACCTTCGTGTTTCTGCGAAAAAGCTTCTGAAACATCCCTGGATTGTCAACGCCCGCAGGTCAGATTCGATTGTTCCCAAAAAGTCAACCGAGTATGAGGAGGCAGTCAAAAGTGTCCAAGAGTGGAACGAAGCCCTGCGTTCACCCGAAGCAGGGACTTTGCGAAGACCATTCAGGCATGATTATCAAAGCCCAGCCCCTCTAACATCGTCCCGCAATACGCCCACAAAGGCGTCTCCGACTTCCAGAAATGTGGCAGATCGGTTCAGGTCGCCCGACTCCATCGAAGAAGACAATTGGGATGATGACTTTGCGACTGCAATTTCCCCTAGCGCATTGCAATTACCTCACCTTCGCCCACAAGATAACTTCGGGGGGATGCTCTCCTCTGAAAAGCTTAAGGCTTTTGCGTCTTTGGATGGGACAGTCCTAAGGTCTGAAGAAAACTTTGACGATTTCGATGATTCTTTTCGAACATCGTTACAGTCCGGGGACTCAGATCCTTTGGAAACCATACGACCTTTCCCAACCAAACAAGCTGGCAACGAAGATACACAAGTGCAAAACCAACCACGTTACCCGATCAATAACTCCATCGCCATGCACAACGTGCCCATCCTAACACAGAATCCGGTACCTCCGATGAGACAACCCCGTCCAGCTTCTTACTACAAGGAAAACTCTGTAGAGGACTACTCCGATCTTATACAGGCGAATGAAGATGTGCTAGACCGGAAGCTTGGCCTTTTTCAGGTAAACACAATAACCGTCATTACTATCGGAGTGACATTTGAGCAAGTCCTCTCTAACCTCTTAACAGGAAACCGATGACGACATGGATGGGCTAGTATTCTCGCCCACGAACGAAGTAGTCCGATATCAACCGCCCCTTGAAGATGAGAATGATCCCCAGCCTCAGCTTAGAAAAAGGATATCTGTTAAACGCCATCGATCAGCCATAGAGATACAAAGGTTCGCCGAAAATGAAAGAGACGAAGATTTCTCTGATATCCTCGGAGCGGATCAAGTAACTCTGGACAAGTCTGAAAGCGAGGGAAGCTCAGACCAGGGCACGTTGATGCTGAATTCTAAGCTGTCAAACGATTCTTGGCTTGGGGACCAGGACGATGAGGATGATCCGTTTGCTCAGCTTGAGGAAGGGTTAGACGAAGTAGACCTGGAAGCAAACATCGCACGTGATAAACATGCAAGGCTCCGGGGTCAAGTCGAGGGACTTGTTAGCTCGTTGAAGACGTCACAGGATGAAGACGTGCTCGGCGAGATCTCCGAACAACTGCTCAACGTTTTCTATGATCTCCCAGAGACCAAGAACATCATCATCAGCGCCCATGGGATGCTACCAATACTTGAGATCCTTGACATGTGCCGTCGGCGTGACATCATTCTATGTTTATTGAGGATTGTTAACGCGATCATCTACAATGATTAT